TGTATCTTGATGACTGTGAGCTGCAGCTGCATGCTTTAAACCCCTGCAGTGTCTGTGCCTACCACTGTGCCTGTTTCTGCATCATAGCCAGACACATGGTGAGGCCTCAGGGTTGCACTGAATGCGCTCCTTCATTCATCTCCATAAAGCAGAGTTTGAAACATGGTTAAGCACAATGTACTGTGCAATGTTGTGTGGTGAGTAATGTGTTGTATGCACAGGAAAAATGTACACACAAGAGTTTTTGCGGTGCTGAAACTGCGCCGTAGTAGAAATTACTTTACCTGCACTGCAGCCTGACTTTTTCTGTTGCTGTAATAAAGTCAGCAGTTTTTGAAAATGAATCTATTTTCTTGAAATGCAGTGAAGATAGAGATTAACTACATTTAGCCTATTGTCCTGACCCTTTTCTATTCAACTGTGTTTTCTCTTCACCGAAACTCTTCAGTTAGAGCAACTTCCCTTGGCTCTAAAAGTGCTATTGTTATACGCCGCTGTGTAGTTTTATGACTACGGCTCCAAAGCATATCCGAAAAGGGAACTGCTGTCCAGAAATGATGATCATGATCCTCTGATGCCCATATGTGCTATCACAGGCCTCCAGGAATGAGCTCTAGCCTCGTATCACTGAGTCATTTCCTTTACAGGAACCCAGAGGATCCTGCAAAAACAGCGTGTCTGTGCTAACTACAACCACTCAATAACATGCTAGTGGTGAACCCACACATTTTCTGCCACTTTGCACATTGATGTCTTTTCTGCACTGCTCAACTGGGGAAGCTAAAACATTTGCAGAACTCATTTATGGGTAGGATTTCTCTCTGTTAGTGCTGAAATGTGTCTCCTAGGGTGAAATCACTCCGCTTTGAAACCTTTTGCACAAGTTAAGTGGGTGCAATAAAGACTCCTGATTTATGTCCGTTCAACTTTTAGCCAGTCATGTCTTCACTGCCTATACTTGTGTGGGAAAAAAACGTTTCAAATACCAGGAATACCATCTGCTTTTCTGACACCAGCTGCAGCCATCTGTAATTCCTGCGACGGTCGTGCTGCAGCTAGCCATCATGTCACCTGAAGAAAAAAGCATTTCTGTAACCTGAGCCGAAAATGCCTGATAAGTAAAGTTTGCCCCGCTCCTTTTCTCGCATCTCACAATGTTTGCGCTCACCCCATGCAGGGTGAGTCATTGCATAGTCATTCAATTGGCTTAAATTACCTCCTTTCATGGTCAACAATGAGCTCAGCTGAAGAGACTAAAGCGGGGGAAGTAGGGCCTTCTGGGAATGCTCCATTTGTTCATGAATCCTGACTCTAATTGGTTGTTATTGCGACTGGCAGTCACCATGCTGTAGGGGTGGAGTAGGCCAGTGTTTGCTTCATACTCCTCTTCAGTCTGCTGTTCACCAGGCTGACAGATAAAACAGACAGCTGTGACCATCAGAGGGGAGGAGACTGATGAAGTTACAGCAGCATGGTCACAAACATGGCACACGGGCGGTCATAGTTCCTTTTACTGATCGCTTTTAGGGCGAATCCCGATGATTGTTTTTATGTTTATGAAAAAATTCTGCGTTGGCCTTTCAGATTACTGTCTTATTCAACCATTTCAACCAAAAAAATGTGTATCAGCTTTAACTGTGGTGACAAATATCTTAAAAAGAGCAGGTTTTTGTCCTAAAACTGTACGCTTCAGCTTCTGTTAGCTCAGATTTTTGGCTGAATGGCCTTGAACAAAGTTGTTTTTTTGGTTTGGATAAATATCCATTGTGAATTTGTGTATCTGCACGAGATATTCAACTGTATAATTGCCTTCATTAAGTTTTAACAGCTGGAAGCAATAAAACTCACATGCTACCGTGGTTCATGACAAGTCGCACATGTGTTTGTGTACGGGTTTCTCAGACCCGGCGTGCACACACACTTTGCTCCGCAGGCTTCTGGGCCACCAGGATGCCCCGCCTGGAAACCACACGTAAATGCTCAAGTCTGTCAAAAGCAAACCCCACCCAGAAGGAGTCAGCGGCAGTCTATTTGCACTGCAGACTATTATGCATTGACTAACATCCCTGTAAAATCTCTCCCTGTGCTGTTCTCCTCCTCTTCTTCTTCTCCTCTTCATGACGTAGCATGTGAAGCTACAACCCTGCCCCTGTGCTGGGACAAGGCAGCTGTTGTCATGTGCTCGTGGATAATGTGCAGGCTGCGTCTGAGTAATGGCTGGCTCTCTTGTATCCTTGTCTGCTGTTAGCACCATGCCAACTGGGCCATCCAGATCAATGATGCTCTGACAGGAGGGGGGAGAAAAGGAAAATGCAGACGCTGATACAGTCTGAGGGAGCAGACAACAGACACATAAAGCCAATTAGACATACAAAGACATGCATGTTAAATAAGAGAAGCCTCATTGTTTACTTCCATCATGTTTCTTGTCAGCCTCCTGTTGTCTGTTTCCTGTCATAAGACAACCCAGAAATGAGTGGATGCTGATCATTTCTTCATTATTTACACCCTTAAGTTATGGCTCCATCCCAGATCAAACAAAAGCTATGACAAAGCGGCGCAAATCTATGGCATTTTAGCATTTTAATGTGCGGCCTCAGATTTAGGAGAAAGCAGATTGGCTGGAGAGAGCAATTACAGAGTGGTCCAACATGATACAGACAGCTGCACTTCTACCTCATCTCGGTGTCTTGGACTGGCCTCAGAGGACAGATGAGGGCTGTAAATGTGTGGGTGTGTGGTCCAAATTGCTAGCAGAGAGTGACTTAGCAGCCACACAACTCCACCAACCTTTTTTCTTTGTTTTCTTTTGCAAGATTTATGCATCTGCCTCCGTTGGAAGCGGATAAAATGTATCCCCTCTTTTCTGCTTGAGCCTGGTAATGGCTTGTCACACTCTCCCAGCACACAAAACACGCCAAGAGGACCAGGGCACAGGAGCTCTCGTAGACAGATGGCGGCAGCGCTCGACTCTGGCAGAGGTGGACATGGACACTGCCCAGAAGAGAGACAGCAAAAGAGGGGACCGACTGGAGTGAAACACCAGCCCGACCGTTTCCATGTCCCTTTTCTGTCTGCCAAAATGACGCTCTCCAGAACCACGGCCACATGCTACTTTTCTGTTTGAAAGATAAACTCAATCTCAAAATGAGTTTGGCTCCTGTGACCCAAATGCAGCAGAAAAAGTCCAGTCTTTCTCTGCACTTCTCTCCTGTAACCACCCAAAAGAGTACAATTGGGGCCTGGTATGCAAGTTCGTCAGTCACATAGGCATTTCAAAGCACACAAGCTCCACCCTGCAGCAGTGGAAAAAGCAGGGATGGTGTTGGGGGGGCTGCACTAAACTCTGCCATCTCGTGCTTCTCTACAGCTGCCAGCTCTTTGGTCTCAGGGAAAAAAAGAAGAATTGGGGGGGTTTTTGGCCTGGGGTGTCCATTTATTCTGCAGCCCAACATCAGCCCCCAACTGTCCTTCAACCCTGAAACCTGCCTCTGGGTATCAGGTTGTTAGGACACACCCCAGCTTTAAGCACATACACACACACACACAAGCACAGACTAACAAGCACAGGACCACCAGTATCCCTCCCCCGCCGCCTGTGATCACAGTAACTCCCCGAGGGTCAGCACAGAAGGGCTCCCAGAGCATCATCAGACGAGTGATCGCTTGCATGTGTGTATGTGTGCATGTGGATTTGTGGTTTTACTGCAGAGGGAGGGTTTGTTCAGACCCTTCTCACTCCTAAAACTACTCATGTGATCATACTATCAGCCCCCCTGAGCCTTGTGATCCTAGTGGTGGGTTTAGGGTCTCTTCCCTACGGAGATGCTTATAAAACAAGAAGGGTCAGAGATCAGAGAAGAATATTCTGTGTACACGTCCTCTGGAGTGATCGCTTCTATCTTTTCTGTTTTTGTTTGTCGAGCACCTTCAAGATTAAAGACTTAGAAAAAAGATAAACAACCATAATGATTATGAAGTAATATGATATTTTTTCGAGTTTACAGGCATTCAGTGGGTCCAGGTTTTCCAGTGTCAGACACTGACTCTTCTTGGTCTCAAACTGTGGCAAATTTTTGCGGTCTAGACTTTACCAGACCAAAAAGACATTTAAGGATGTCATCTTTTCCTCTCAGTTTTAGGGATTTTCATTGTTTTGGCTTCAAAGACCACACGATTAAACAGTGAAATATAAATGTAGACTAATAGGTCAGTTGTTGCAACTCTTGTTATTTTTTTCTTCTTTGGAAATAAGTGTGAAGGTTTTACCTTTTAAGTAAATCTCAAAGCCTGAAGTGGTGGATCTAAGGAGGCTGAATTTTTTAAGTATCTTGATCAAATCAGTGTTGGAGCATTTATTTTTTTGGTATAAAGCCAGGAACTTATTACAAACTTTTTTGGGAGCACAAGATACTTTTTATGAAGTGTTGATAGATATTTTAAGGTTATTTAGGGTTTAATCAGACAGAAGGGGGGATGTTTACTTATTTTCTTTATGTGCTGAATGTCGTGATCTCTGAGCACCAGATTGAGACACAATCAAGATTTGTAAATCCTGCTCTGAGGTGTGCAAAAATTATGCATCACTATGTCAAATTTTGAGCCTCTGATTTATAATTCTTTGCACTCCCATATTTCTTTCCCTCTCCCTGCCTCTCTTGTCTCAGTGACATTAAACTGATCTTAAACATCTTCTGACCTTAGTCCCTTTCTCTTCACCAGGTGTATATGCTCCAGGCGCAGCGGGACCCAGCCTCCGTGTCAGAGAGGGACGAGGCTGCTCCCACCTGGGCCGCAGTACTCCTCTGAATCTCTGCTCGTGGTCTCTCTCTCTCTCTCTCTCAGCACCAACAACCCAGATTTGGAGACCAAGAGGGCAGCGACAGGGGAACCATTTTGTTCGGAGGTGAAGCTGAGACTCTCTCGGTGCAGAGAAGGAGCCAGGAGTGGCTGTAGCTGGGATATTTTAAGCTGCTCTCTGACCTCTGAACTCTTCGGCCATGACAACCGCGGTCCAGCCCAGTGAATTGGTGTTTGAATTTGCCAGCAACGGGATGGACGAAATCAATCAGGTGAATGTCACACTGCAGAAACAGCATTTAGAGCTTTTGTTTGATGTTTCTTATTTGCTCAACTGGGCTTGTAGACATTTTTTGCAGCCCCGGACCCGTGTTTGACTATCAGTCTCCATCCAGATGTGCCGTATTTGGTCATGTTGATAAATGTTAAGACTTTTCATAGCAGAGCAAACAAATCTTGTACAAACAGCATTGTGGGACTGGGGTAGGATTAGGAGCCTGTGATCTTTAACTCTGACATGTTGGGCATGGAGACATGGAGGGGAGGCTGGAGTAAAGAGGGGAGGTCTGGGTAGAGAGGTGTGGGAGCGCAGAAATGGAAAGAGTGAAAAACCTGGGTGCGTGGGAGGGGGAAGAGGGCGGTGTTTGGCTGTAAGACGGCACGGAGGTTTGTGTGTGAACTTGCACCTATATGTCTTTTCATTACCCGGTCAGGTGTGGAGTTATCTCATCCCCACGGCTGTGTCTGAATCCTGTGGAGCAGGCTTGATCGTAAGTTAGGTTGTATGTGTGTTTACGTGTACTGGTATCTGTGTGTGTGTGTGTGTTTCTGGAGTGAGCAAATTGTCACTGGATCCCTGAATAGCACCACTTCAGGCCTAACCTGACAGACCAGTTACAAGACTGCTTGTAAGGGATGGGATGATTCCACTTAAAGCTCTTGTATTGTTCCAGTGCTACAGTTTTGTTCCTTGCTGCACCCACTCAGCCTGTTATGCAAGCTGCATTGCCCCTATTTACCATGTCCTGGAAATACCCCCAAAAGGAACAACATATGACCGCAGTGTCCATTTTGTCTCTGCTGGCTGTAGCAAAGATTTCTTTTGGCCACAATAAAACCATTGTAGCTGAGTGAGATCATAGAGTTAGTCTTTCTTTAATGATTAGCTATGCTATATTGGTTTTTAAGTCAATAAGTAGCTCCCTGAAACAAATCAGGTAATAAATGCAGAGTGCTACTGTAGCTTTCTTTTTCTGTTTTTGAAAGTAAGAATAAATACTCTTTGCTTTCCATATCCTATTTCACACATGATGGTATCTCTCATGTTGTGTGCTGCTAGAGTTAGAAATGACACGATAATGAGGATATTGAAAGTGCACAGACAGTTGGACTCCATTGTGGCTGAGCAGGTAAAGCAGAAGAGAGCAGCGCGGGGAGGGGACAGCTTGCACAGATGCTGCTGCTTTCAAAGGCAGAATGGGGAACTCAGAAATGCAAATGGGCCTGATTCTTATCGCTCCTGGTTCCCTACTAGAAACACTGTTCACGTCAACAAAGAGGAAGAAGCAGTTAATAGCTTTATGATGCTTAGTATTATTTACCGGCCTGTGTTACATGTCGGGATTCAGCTCTCCAGAGAGTTTCACCTTCCCACAGCTTTAAACCATCTCCCTCTTTCATAGTTATACCTAAATCATTTCACCACATTTGGACAACAAAAGACAAGTTTGAAGGTGTTCCCAGCAAAATCACATCACCAAAACAACAGCAGAGAAAGCAGGCGTCTCATGCTCTGTCAGCAAACTGTGGGACTCTCTGTGTCTGATGGGAGGGGTAGCCAAAATGCCTTTGTCTTCACACACAACTGACTCTCACTCAAGGACAGCAAACATCACTTAAACCCAGACGAGGGGATGTGGCAGCCTCACTGTCTAGCTATCTGATAGTATGTCTACCAAGGAGTCAGATTAATGGAAAACATTCAGTGCATGTGAGGGAGACGCTGATAGCGCCTGTAGTCTAAGCAAAAGTCAGGGTTTTTATGAGCCCTGGGAGGCCTTGAGGTTGTGCTCCTGAGATGACATAAGCTGTTTGTGTTGCTCTTGTTGCGGACGTCTCATGGAGCCTCAAAGACAACAACGATGAAAACTAATAAACAATACATGCCCCCGCTTAGGAGGCCTACCTGTTTTAATACAGCGCACAAGTAATAAGCGGGTCTGTTAGTTTCCTGGTTAAAGTGTAGCTGAAATGGGAGTGTATCCATGCACTCTTTTGCCCCCTCTTCCCACCCCCACAGCTCAAAGCCCAGACACCTGGTACGCCCCAGAGGTCCAAAGCAACAATGGGCACTTGTGCAAAGAGACAAATCAGGCTTTATTCATGTTCCTCCTGCTGCACCTTTACTCTGTCTTGTTCCTCCTTCAATCAGGTCATCGCTGATAGATTGTGGTGTTAGCCTTTGCTCAGTGTTTAGGAAACATGCTGAAATGACTCCCATCAAAAAAACTAAAGATGTATGCACAATTTTTATCCTTAACATGGGTGAGCTTTTTGATACATCCCAATCAGTTTTAATGCAAAGCAGAACTGCACATACCTCTGTTGTTGCAGCCTTTACATTTGAAGAGAATTGAACGCTGTGATTATAAATAAGCCTGGATCCAAAAAGGAGTTCTTCCAATTTGGCTTGGACACATATTTGACCCACATTTTACTCATCTTTGACTCAAAGTCTGTTTTGAAAGCAGAACTACACTCTTCCTTTGAAGCAGTGCTGTCAAAAACACCTGAAAAAGGTCTGTATCTGTCAGACTGTAGGTTTGTACTTAATATAAGTCAGTAAGTCTTTCTTTGAACATTCAGAGCAGTGGCATTCGCAGCTCGGTTGCGACATGGTGACAGAAATGACTCGCTCTGTTTTGAAGTGTACACTGCTGCCATCTGCTGGCGAGTAATGTCGCCTAGCATCAAAGTACCTCAAGTGAACTTTTCATTTGAAATCATTACTGATTGTTGGAAAAAGTTTGCTTAATCACATCAGCTCCTCTTTCTCAAGCTGTTCATTTTAATTTCAAGTACATTAGAACAGCATACACCCCCTGAGGCTACTAGAACCAGAAAACCATCATAATAATAGCACCATATGACTGATGTGTCCCCGTGCTCCTCCAGTTGACACAAACCAAGCTCCTGATGAGTACTCTTGACTCCGTGTTCGAGGAGCTTTTCAGATGATCCTCAATGGTTTGGCCCAAACACCAGTAATTCCCTCTGCCCCGTAGTTTCTCCCTGCATCCGTCTGCACCGTCCCTGACAGACTGGGAGGTTTGTATTCCCAGGGTACGTTCAGGACATGATGAAGGGCTCGCTCGCCTGCAATTCATGATTGATCCATTAACATTCATTTGGGTTTATAACATTTGTGAGCATAAGATTAACTTCTTATGAAGTAGGCCAAATCACACAGCTGGTTCCCATCTTCTTCAGCAGGTCCCTGAGGACCTGCTGCAACACCACAGAAATGAGCTCTCCTCCATGCTTCGTGCCTCCATATTAGCTGGAACTGGGACTGATTCTACAATATTTTACAAGGCAATAAAAATAAGAGAGCAAATAATTTTACAGCATTAATTCGATGTCATTTGGGGTTCATATTGGGTTTATGATGTGTAGTGGAGAAATTAATGGTTTTTATTACATACACACATGAGCATGTGGAAGGTCCAGTGGTCTTGTGCCTCTCTGCAGTAGCACAACTGATAAAAAAATCTCACATATTAATCCACATGTTTGTGTGCCCTCTCTCTGCCCGTTCAGCTGGACGACCCGTCAGTATTCCCAGCAGTGATAGTCGAGCAGGTTCCTGCTGCAGATCTGCTGCAGGTCTACTCCGGCCTGGAGTCCGACGAGGTAACCAACGGCATCATGGTGGATACCACTCTCCATGTGGTGGAGGAATCCTCCATCTTGGTGGGAGGAGTAGACCTCTCAGGTAAATATACCTGACCCCATACCTTCAGTTTAAAGGCCACTGTGTTCAGAAAGATACACTTTTTTTTTTTTGTCAGTAAACAAAAACTTGATCTTGCAGACCTGTACATGTTAACTATGTAGAAATAAACCTGTCCCACAATCAATGTAAATTCTTTTTTCCATATTTTTCCAATATTTTTCTAAAACCTTCACTTTTACCCAACAAACAATCCAAGTTTTCCCTAAAATACACACTCCAAGCTTGTGTTTATTTGTGCTGACCTTAGTGAAAAAGGTATATTAATACTCACCTGTAAACTCACTGAAGACGTAAAGACCTGATAGAAATACCAAACATTCAGCCTTAACTGATTGACTTTGAGTGACAAATACCGAATTATATAATGCACTACATATAAACTTGGATAATTTCACATGAGTGTATTTGTCCTGTAATGGACAGAAACAACAGTCTCTGGCCCGGAGGACAGTATGGAGACAAACGAAGCTGCAGCAGCTCTTCTCAACATGGAGTCTCCAAACAACATTTTGGATGAAAAGCGCATGAGTAAGTCTTTTAAAAAACACCTCAATTTCACAAATAGCTTTTCAAACTTTTCCACTTTGAGCTGACGTTGTTCATTTGGAGAATAAGATAGCGTCTTCATGTTTGTTTGTGTGTCTCTTGTTTATGTATAGTTCATGCCTACGGCACGCTGCTGGAGTCGGAACTTTCATACGCCCCTCTGAGACCAGACCAGATGGATAATGGCGCCCTTGACATGTCTCTGGATGAGGACACTTCATCCATGGATGAGATACCCCCAAAGTGTCCCCTTAAACCGCAGAAAAAGACCAAAGGTAACACTGTTGTCCTCCTCCTTGTTAAAGCCCATGAATTATCTCTTGTGCTAAATTTCAGTATTGTGGGTAATTGGATGATTTCACTGTGACCTCTCACCGTGTAACGCTCTACCCCTCAATTTGAATCATAGTGCGGAAGCCGCGGGCGGTGCGTCCCTGCTCCCCTATCACCACCCCTAACCTGCCACTGAGGAAGAAGAGTAAAGAGGGCAAAGGTCAGTCTCACTAACTAGTGTACTCCTCTGTAATGAGCCAATAAAAATCAAGGTCTCTCCGCCTCTTGTGTACGCTCTGTTTCCTCCTGTGGAGTGTGCAAACAACACTCCTCAACCCCTGCAGTCCAGCGGGGCTGAGTCTGGGCGAGTTAATGGATGAGGGGATCTCAGAGTGCTGTGTTTCAGAGGGAAACAGAAGTGATTGCAGGCTGGAGGGCACATTGATGCTTCACCGATAGAAACAGACCAGTGCTGCTCAATGCGAACCCTTGTTGCACCATACAGTGTGACACACAATGATGAGGGGGCTGGGCATGCTGGGTTCAGCTGCACGCATATACATCACCCTGTCATGCTGTCTGGGATTCAAGCGACTACTGGGAGAACTGCTGTTTTTAACCACTTCTGGTCAAAGCAAATCACAGCGAGCGTAATCTACTCACAGGCTTGGGATGATTAAATCCTTTGCATGTGGTGTAAGCACACGCACAACTGACATAAAATGGTGATGAGAGAAGAGTAGATCATTTTTAATCCCGTGGCTGCAGTACAAGACTCTCACGTATGAACCCCCAGTTATTAAAGCAGCTATGGATGTACTCAGCAGCTCTAAGGCCCTGCCATAAATGTCTGAAGTGCTTGAACATTAAAAGCATAACTTCATGTATTCCTCCCACCCATTTACAGGCAACACAATCTACCTGTGGGAGTTTCTCTTGGCTTTACTGCAGGACAAGAACACTTGTCCCAAATACATCAAATGGACACAGAGGGAGAAAGGTATCTTTAAGCTGGTGGACTCCAAAGCTGTGTCGAAGCTGTGGGGCAAACACAAGAACAAGCCCGACATGAACTACGAGACCATGGGCAGAGCTCTGAGGTGAGGACTGATGCTGAATTACTGTCCAGGTGTAACACTGAATATTGTTTAGAGACACCCCATTAAGTTCTGTGTTGTAACCTGCACAGACAGAACAGCTTTTGTCAAGATAAAACACAATCACATAGATATAAATGCACCAGATATAACACAAAAAATAGCTGGAGGTCTGTAAGAAGAAATATCATACATCTCTTACTGTGAAGGGGCTTTTGTTAAACTGTTCTGCTGGATATTTGGATGACATGTAACCATGCCCACTGAGCAATAGACGGCTATTAGATGTCTAGCCTTTTTTTTAAAACCTAATTTCAACCGTCTAGATTCTGTATATTTTTAGACAGAATTCAGACGTTGCACTTTAACCCATTATTTGATTACTACTTATTTCAAAAAGCGACTGTGAGTTGCATAACTGATCTTCAAGTAACTAACAAAAATAATTATGATAGCTGTTGAGCAATATACAGAGTAGACCTCTGTTAGCCAGCTAGTCTAAACTTAGTCTAAATTTAGACGTCTAAAAACACTTTTATTTTTAGACCTATGGTAGCCTGATTTTAGACCAGTTGTCTGGGCTACATGTAGTCATTTAATAGACCTCTTTTAGACCCAAAAATACTCAGTGGGTGTTTACATTAAGCTCGCATCTGTATCTGATCCCTCTACCTCGATGAAGTGAGCATCGTTGAGTTGTTGATGTTTGTGACAATTTTCCTGAACTTTTTCTTCTCAAAGATGGTTGGAGCCCAGTAGTCTCTGAGGTCGCTCTCATATCTCTGCCCTGTTACTGTCATTATTTTCATATTCTCCAGAAATGACCTGAAATCTGAACTAACAGTATTAACTAAGAATGCGAACGGAAACTCATGTTGTCAAAAGTGAACCAATCCAGACTTCTCTCTGTAAATTAACTTAATATGATGTTTCTACTTTTTCCTTTAGATACTACTATCAGAGAGGCATACTGGCAAAAGTGGAAGGACAGCGGTTGGTGTATCAGTTTAAAGAGATGCCAGCTGATCTGGTTGTGATCGAGGACGAGGACGCGGCCTCTGATGCCAGCGTTGGCTATGGAAATCAAAGATCCACCAATGGGCGCTCTTTTGTCCGAGGAGGCTCCAAAGGCCACGGGAGGGCTCACAGTCAACACCAAATGTCAGAGAAACAGATGAAGAAGGAGCCTAATGATGAATTTCTGTACCAGGATGTCCACAGCGGGCACACTGAGCACCTCCTGCAGTCTATGCACATGTTGCAGGCCAGCCAGGAGATGGGGGTTCAAGATCCAGCACACGCTTTAAGGTATGAAGAGGAAAAAAACAATGTAGGAATCATAAACAGTGACCAGGATGCTTTTAGCTTTATGGAGTATGTTATTTATTTGAATACAGCACAGCAGGAGCGAGAAAACATTCATTTCTGATCAGAGTTTTCATGATCTTTCCAACGAGAGCCGCACTGATGAACCAGTAGGGGTGATATTAGCTTTTCCTGAATATATTGGTATTGGTGCATATCTTAGAAGATAAATAACACAAAGTTGAAGCATAGAAACTCAAGGATGTCTTTGGAGTCATTTGGTACCAGTGCCCCTATCCATCTAAAGGAGTATTGACTTTGTGCTTACTCGCTTTCTTGCAGAGAGGGAGATGAGAAGATTGGTTCAATCTTGTGTTTAACCCGAGTCGCCTTCCTCTGCATGTTTGTGTGCTGTGCTGAAAAAGATTTGACTGAATTGACTCTTTGCTAAAAGAAAAATCACCTCAGCCAATAAATTGCAGCTATTTTTGTGTGATGGTCAAATATCAATATCAGCAGGGAAGTCAAAAATTCACAGTTACAGGCTCCGTGCCACAGCCGCGGGACGCTTGGACAACAAATCATTTTTTTCCTGATGATTTTTTTCTTTTGTGAAATGTGAAGCTCATTTATTTGGCCGTCTTGAAATACGTGAAACACCTGAAGCTCATAACATCACTTGAACACAGAGCCTGTACACACAAAAATGTCCTTGAGATTCACACAACAGGACTGACTCAACCTTTTGTTGACAGCTGCTGGTTCTTTAGGGAGTTCAACTCCATCTTGAAAATCTTTTCAGAGTCAGCTCTCAGATTTCTCAGGTAAACTATTTAAATTTAAGCTTCAGTAAAAAGGTGTGGACACAGTCACAGGAAAAGCACTTTGATAAAAATGCTGTTGAATCCAGCCGTCCTGAGGTAAATTGGGTGGTTTGTGAAGATCATAATGATGCATTTTAGTCGATGTCAGGAAGGTGAAATCTTAAAGCGCTATTTATTCTGTATTACACTGAGCAGGTTATTGTGTCATCTGCCTGTAACGTGAATGTGTTCTCACTCACATTGTGTTCCTCTAAGCTGTTAAAGTCCTCATCTTCATGAAAAATGTTCCTGCAGTACAGCTGACAATGCTGTTTGTTATATTAATACAGACATTAGTTCTGCTGTTTGGGATCAGAGCTGTGCGCTGGGTAACTTTCTCAACAGGGTTCCATTAAAAAGTAATCTTTGTCTATATTTGCTGAGACACAAAGTGAATATTCAACAATGCCTGTGTCAGAGAAGAGGAAGAAAACAGCGGCTCTTGTTCAGTTTGTATTGTCTTTGTTTTTTTAGATCCATCTCCACTTCTGCATCTGTTCCAATGGTCCTGACCTCCTCCAGCTCTCTGCAGTCCGTTCCCCTCAACACCCTCCTCGCCAACGGGGACTCCAACCACTCCTCCCCTCCTCGTGTTATCCTCCACACCGTGCCCTCCACCGCAGCAGGCGGCAAAGACGTGCTCACCATCCAGACGGCCTCTCTCGCCGGCGGAGTCAACAGCCTGCAGGACGGCCTGCCGCAGCAGCTCCTGGTCACCAGCCTGGGCTCCACAACCTCCACCACCTCCTCTACCCCCTGCACTCCCCCTCCAGGAGTCATTAGCTCCACCGCTTCCAACCTCCCCCGCCTCGTCACCATCAACACAACCTGCGGGCAGACAATGGTGGCACAGCAGCCCGGCACTGTAATCGCCACAGTGCTCAAATCAGGCGACATCTCAGGGCTGCAGGTCAAAGAGGAGCTACTTGACCCTGCCTACTTTCAGACCATAGTGAACGGCGATCCATCACTGGCGGTGCACACGTTTGAGAGAGAAGAGATGGAGGTAGGGGAGGCAGAGCTGCAGTACAGGACTGTGATCATTGATACCAGTCAAAACCACGGCCAGGAGGCTGCATGTGAAACGATAATGAATGGACATTCCTCCCAGAGCAGCAGCCCGAGTGAAGGTCTAACCCCGGTGGAGGAGCTGGAGGTGCGTGGGGAGATGTCTCTACAGCCAGAGCAGGGAATCAAAGGCCTGCAGGAGCTGCCACTGTCGGCCCAATTGCCTGTAAACTTTATCCAGATAAAGACAGAGCCTGCTGAGGCTTAGAACTGCAGGACTCCTCTAACCAAGCTGAACCAAAAAAAAAGAAAGAAAGAAAGAGTGAGAACCATTTTGACCGCAGACTCCTTTTTTTATTTCCCCACCAGTGATCCGAGCGAGGGATCTTTAAAGTTTGGTCAGTTCAGCCTCAGGATTTATTGTTTACTCACTTATGTGACCATGTGCCTAATTTTAAAAAAATCAAGGGAGTGTTTAGTTTTTCTAATAAGTCACTTATGGATCTTGGGATTGTTTTCCATAGACTTTAACCCCCCCCCAAAAAAACAGATACACAGACACAAAACAACCTCACGTATGAAACAAGCTCCCTACCCAGGAGAACAGCCATTGGATGAAGCAGGGATCCCTGTCTACCAAACGTGCCAGTTAGTCATTTTCTTACTTTTCATCTCTCTGGACCTGAAATATTTTAAGAGAAGATTGCGACAAACCAAAACCGGGGACTGAATGCCAAACAGGTGCAATGAAATCAGACTTCTGAGAGCGTGCAGAGGGGGTGTGGATTTTCTTTTAAACCACATAAAGGTGTGTGTTTCCACGGATGAGGGTTGGATGCTGTATCACGGTTCCCAAAAAACCCATCTCAGAGTTTAATTGAAGAGTGCCTTACAGGAAGTTCACACAGCTCACGGCTCTGTCTTTGAAACTTCTGGGGAGACGATGAAACTTAATGGCTTTTTCAGACTTGCAGAACTTATTACTCATTTATTTTCATATAAACAAAAAAGAAAAAGGTATGCATTCACTCTCTATTACTCCTGGCCTTAAAACACTGTGTTACTATGGAAATGGGCATTTTCTCTCCACCAAGGACAGTCCAACATCAAAACTGTTTGTATAAAGCTGCAGAATGGAGGCACAGGAAGATAGGAGGCACAAATGCAGAGAAAAGAGTATACAGGATAAGTCAGATTTTATCAGCCTCTGCTTCAGAGGCCCAGTGGTTTAGATCCTGTTTATATGAAATGGAATTATATATATAAATATATACGTATAATATACAATTGAGATTCAATTTTAAGGCCATATTGAATTTATTTATTTTGTGAATTTCTAAATTCTGTATAAAAATGGCACATTTGTCTTCTATTTACATGTGTTAACATGAGGGAAAATACAAAGAATATGAACCTTAATACTAGGAAACTTATCTAGTAGTTTTTTTGTTTTGTTTGTTTTTTTCGGACCAATGTTTTTCATTTGTATAGCATTCATTATATAATCGGCTTTCTTGAGTTTTTGACTCGGTGCGGCATCATTACTCCACTGTTAAACCTTTTCATTGTAGATACTCCCCTGTTAAGTGTCTGATTTGAAAATGTACTGAATGTGCTTTAGTTCCTTTTTTTCCAGCAGACATACCTCTTTCCCTTTTACAACAGTTCAGCGGTGATGACTGTGCATTCACAAACCTGATTTGTCTCCTTCATAAAGTATCAGCTTATTCAATCATGATGTCTTTGAGATCGTATCTTAACCTTCTTTGACGGTTCCTCTCCGGTTCTTTCTCTTTCTTCACTTGATCTTTCCTCTTGCCTCTTTTTACTTTGTCCCCCTTTCCTCTCCTCTCCTTCTTTGTCCTCACGCCCTCTCTCTCTCTCTCCCTCTCTCTCTCCTTCTCCCTCTCTCCTCGGGTCAGTAGACTCTGTGCCTTCTTTATTTGCCGTCCCACTTTGTTAAGGACCTCTCAGGCCAGCCACCTGATAGGCCCCCTCGGTCCTGCAGGGGATGAAGCCATATTGATCCTGAGAGGTATCACAGCTAAATTGGTTGTATTTTCCTCCAGCCGGACTGTAGCTGCAGAGTGAGGACATTCAGACACACTGACCTCCATCTGCACTGGCACCTAAGGACAGGAGTTAAACGCTGCTTTACAACCTCACATCAGCCAAAGTGCTCTGGGTCTGCAAAGACACTCTGAATGTATACTTACTGTTTAAGTTTGTGCAAGCGTTTGACAATCGATAATTACACTGGGTAACTTTTGCATTGAGGATTTCCTCCTTTTATTAGAGTTGTATATATTCTGTATCTGCCCCTTTCTGTTTCTCTTAAAGCACTGTTGTACGTGAGATTTTGAGGTATGTCCACTGCTCATGTTTTGCTGCGTCTCCTATTTTCCTGGGTTGTCTTTTTGCCTCCCATATGCTGAATTTAGAGTAGATTTTTAAGAAAAAGTCAATGTACTAATTAAAAACAAAATCTTCTTCACCGAACATCCCCTTTTATTTGTCGTTTTGTCGCAGAAAAATGTGTTCTGGGAATCATATAAGCAAATGGATAAAATGTCACACAGAAATAAACAGAAAACAAAATTATACTTGGAAACAAATAGCACGCAAGGGGGCTACCAAGTCAATTAATTTCTGCTGTCGAGATAATGAAAATGAAGTATTTGTGCCTCGGAAACTCAAAGTGGCTGTGCTGCTTTGAGGGACGTTCGACCACATGGCATTTAAAGAGAAAGGAGGGGGAAAAAAAACGCTACTGTAGGAAACTGGATTGGAGCCATTAGCGGGCCGCAGACTGATTGGACTGTACTTTAGAGCAGTGCTTCTCCAGTTGCTGTGGGTGGATGAATACATTAGCATGTGACATGCCCAGAGCTGAAGACAGCCGAGTCTGTCACCACAGCTTGCAGACTGAAAAGAGTGTGTGTTGAAGCTGTGGTTGGCAAGTGGAAGGGTTACTTGGATTATATTCTGTTAGAGCATGTGCTATGTTGATGTGTCTGTGTGTGTCGGGAGGATGTATTGGCTTGAATTGACTTTGTGCGTGAGTGTGTTCAGGGTCAGAAAAGAGGAGGGAGGGAAGGAGGGAGGGTGTCGGTGGTGTTGAGGAAGCTGTCTGGCAGCAGGGATTGCCTACTGTGCCTGGCTCTGTGTACACCCACATGCACAGCTGTGGACCACACAATCCAATCTTGCCATAGGGTTGAAACACACAAACACACGAAGCAGAACAAGGCCAGAGGTTCAGCCACAGCCACAACTGTAACCTTCACTCCTGCGAACATCTTCCTGAGAATTTCTTCAGACCGGGAAAAAGATTCAGAAATAATTGCGTAAGTTTCACAGTCAACAACAATCAACCCTCCATTACATCCAGATAGACACTTTCCTTTTTCTGTTCAGTGGTTCATTGATCGCCTGCCATATGGTAAGCGGAGGTTGTTATGGATTACTAAAATAATGAAAGACTACGAGCAGCTGCTTCGGCTCTCCTATTCCTTTTTGCTTTGGTGAGTCAGAGACCCCTGAAGATGGAGCGAGAGTCGGGGTCCTGAGAGAGGAGGACTATTTTTGTGTCGCCTGCAGCCACTGACACAGCGCGAGTGTTTACTGCTGGGCCACGCTGCCTCTCACAGTGGGAGCAGTTGAAGGATGACGACTGACATTATTGTGCCTCCAGCGTGTAGCAGGAAGAGTACAGGGAGAGCTTATTTAACCATCAGGTCACCAGACTGGCTGCAACATTACAAAGGAGAGGAGATGATGACTGCAGTCTCATGGCAAAATGCAGCTTTTAACTTTATAACCTGCAGCCAAGGTTACATTTAAATAGAACATTAACTTTTTGAGGGTTTTCCCATACAAGTATTTAAGAACAGCAGGTGGAGCACGGTTTAAAATGTTCATAAAAGCATAAAAACACTTGCAGAAACAATACGCTATCACTCTGGGTCAGTTTACATCTGTCTCCACAAGATGGCACTGGTCATACATGAGTCCTCAAGCAAGAGCCTGCACCTCAGACTGAATGTGGAGACAAGTATTCCTTCAGGTTACTAATCTAAATACAGACACTCCTCATACATTGGTTTTCACCCTCCTCTGCCCCAGAATAGCAACTCATAGATCTAAATGAAGGAGTGAGTATTTGAAATGAAAATAAGCAGCTGGGAGTGAAGTATTTTTTTTTGATAAGTAACAAAAGAAATTAATTCACATGTGAGGCTGTGATAGTGGTCATACCTCGAGCCAGGTAGGAAGAAAATCCTTTGAACTGCGCTCACCTGGCTGTTGACAGGTTTCTCCTGCAGAGGACTTGATCCGGCTTCCTCTCCTCATCAAAACAGCAATAAACAAATGCTGGAGGGGGAGGTTTTTCCTAGACAGTGTAAAACCTCTGAGAGCTATTGTGCGGGGCTTCATCTGCACTACATCTTTCATTCAGGAGTTCACAGCCTCATATCTACCGTAGACAGTATTGAACCACATCAGACACGGCAGGAATGTAAATTAGCGGTATTAATAAACCCCTGTGCTAATAATCAAAGATCATTTAATTCTGAGTGCTTCAAGATTGTGCATTTAAAGAGGAAAAACACGCTTTCTGAGCCGCTCTCGTGGTCTTGTTTTTCAGCCCTCTCCACATATTTACATTGGTCTTTAAACGCAATCACTGAATATCTCATTAAGTGAGCGCCGCATAAATTTTCTTAACATCTTATTATTTGCATCGTGAGACACTGTGTATTTAAAAAAGAAAACCAGGCAAACAGCTTCAAAAGATGCTGATTTGGGTTTTGCTTTAGATTAGATGCAACTGGTTTTCCCCAGGAGGCTTTCAATGACCTGAGGAGATTTGTGCTCTGGGTACTCTGACGTAGATGCACTTTGTTTTAGTAGGCAACAACCTTGTTCATAAAGTTGCGACTCCAACACCATCCACGGCCTTCTTTTAGTCTCCAGCACATTGATTTTTCACCTTTGAGTCATCTGTACTTTAAAAGGTTGACTTTCATGGTTAAAATATTGGACTTTTGTCCCAGCGGGTACGAGGATCTCTCAGGGAGCCGGCTGTAATATCTGTATCAGCCTCTCCAGTCAGGGTGAGACATCCCATTCAGAGCGACTCTCAGGGCTTCCATGGCAATTTACTCTTACGACTACACAAAAGAGTCCTCAGAGTCCTCCGAGACCTCGCCAGATAGACAACTAACAGCATCTTACGAAAAATAACACTTTGCACTATTTCCCAATGTTGTGACTGTAAAAGCTCTGCAACAACAGCAACACCAGCATCCCTGAAAGCATCCTTTTTAATAAACACTCCGTTTATTTGATGTGATAAATGGAAATGAATTATATAAAAATGATTTTATGAACTTTTCAAAATTGCCTCAAGGGTTTTGCGGTACACTTGTCAGTTTATTTGAAGTATGTTAGCAATTATTGCATTTGTTAAATCATGCCACTACTTTTTACTTGACATGTTGCTTTGGGCGATTGACATTATTGATTTAAAAAATAACAATATGGATGCAGTCTGAACTCTGTTTATAAGCACATCCATAAAACATGCACATGCAGTAATATGCTTCACCCTCTTCTTCAGAAAAATCCAATTTGCTGCCAAATATTATTGATATCACTGACATTATTACCACAGAGCCAACATGAGTCAACATCAAGATTTACTTTGCAGTGAGAGCGATGCATTAATATGCATGTGATACACCAGAGAGTTTCAGGTTATGAAACAGAAACAATAAAAATCACCAACGTCTAGTTTTTCTTGACAGAATTCTTGTAATTTGATGCTAAATGTGTCTGCTAATGAGCACGGGGACTACTGGAGAGGAGAGGAGCGCCGTCTATTGTATGGATGGCATGAGTCAGATTCAAACCCACACACTTGCATCAGCTTTCACACAAACAACCTGGAGTGTCAAGTGTCTTTCAAGGAAATCATATTGTTGCATATGAACAGAAATTATTCACAAAATGTGTTTTTTTTTTTAATTGGAAAAAAATCAAAGAAGGAGACAGAAACTTACAGAGGGCTTCACAGCACACGATGACAAAGAGGAGTGCTCTGTTTCTGTGCCTCTCAGTTGAACTTAACTTGAATACTCAGGGGCATTTATGCACCTTGTTACTCTGATGACAGAACATCAATTACAAACGCCTATCTCACTTGCTTATCTGTGAGTCGCAGACGAGTTATTGCAGCTCGACAGATTGAGATGTGGTGTCGCAGATTAAAATCGCCCCAGCAGAGGAGGCGACTGTTTGAACAGTAGCTGTGTTTAAAGCAGTTTGTGGATTGCAACAACAGAGAAAACAATGGAGGATAACACAACATAAAGTACATCACAAAGAGGCCTGTGCATCTTTGATTACACCAAACTTCCTTAGCTTAACATGATAACTAAAACCGGATGTAAGAACGGTGATTCTACTAAGAACCAGATGCAGAAATCCCAAGCTGTTGCTCTTTCTGAACTGGAATGTAAATATTACAGCATTTAATTATTTGTTTGTTTTCCTTCTTTTTATCTTCATTGTTAATATTTCATCAGTTTTAAGTTGCTTCTGGACTCTTTGAATATTAAATATTGTTTTTTAGTACTCAGATGTGGTTTTGGGGTGATTGTGTATGCCATAAGTTCACCATACACTGTTAAAAGATGGATGGCATGCCAGCATCTCAAAAGGGAAGTCAAAACATTTAGAGTTCAAACTTTGAATTTCAAAATCGTCTCAAACACGGTTATCTTTGGAACCTAATTTAAGTCCATTTCTTCACTTTATTTTGGAGAAGTTAAGTTTCATTTAGTTCTTTGATACGAGAAAAGAGTGTTACAAAATGATTGACAGGTCTGATAATCATCTATCTGTGGGCTGTGCTGACCTGAGGGATCTGAAGTGAAATGGGTGTTTTGATTCACGGTGGCAGATGGATATCAGCCTCTGACTCAAGAGCTTTTGGCTTCACTTTTGTACAAAAAGGGGACACGTCATCCATCTTTAATTTTGTTTTTGTTTGTTTTAAGCATTTTGGAGAAGGTTTTATCTGTGATTTAGGTTGCACTACATATAAATGTATATATTGGTACACACTATGTACATTTCCATGCATAGAATATGAAAAAAAACAACAATACTTTTTTTTTCAATCAATCAAATATAAAATGAATGGATCGTAAAGCAAGGACAAACAGAGCTCAGGTATTTTTAAGCAGATTACTTTCTGATAGCACCTTCCACACTAAATTGCAACCATTCAACAGGATCAAATAGCAAGGATACTAAGTGGGTAGATAAGCAAAGAAAATTAGACAGCTGTTAACAACCAATGTCTTTTAAGGGAGAATCAAAAGCGCTTCACTAACTTTTAGACTATTTAGAATGACTAAAACTCAATGGGCCAGCCTTCAGTCTGGATAATGACTGTGTTCAATGGACTGCAGGATCTGCACCTTGATCAACATCAACACTTGAAAACCTCAGACAGGGCTCGCCCTCTCAGATCCTCCCCAGCATGCGGGCAATCCACCAGTTGCACGGCATGACAATCTGACAGATGACCCGGCCTCCTTGGTAGTAGTACGGCCACGGGTTGAAGCCGCCCAGGGGCTCGTGGTAGCGGCGGCAGTAGCGGTAACCACGGCGACAGTACTGGCAGCAGTAGCCACGCTCGTCCAGACGGTTGTCCAGCTCTATTCCGACGTCTCTCTGCGGGAGGACACAGACAGGAGCGGGCAGGGTTACAATCACACACATGACCGACGACAGTCCTCCCCAAGGCAAGGACAGGGAGAGAAGATGAAGGAGAGGAAGAGGAGGAGGAGGAGGTGGAGGAGGAGGAGGATGAAGAGGGGAGGGTGTGAATTGATGAGGCAGCTTAGCTTAGCAGAATATAGAATGTTTAAGCCAAACAAGAGTGAAAAGATCAGAATTGATGTGTGTGAAAATGCAAAGTTGTGCCATGCTTGATGACTGTGACAAAGAGATCAAGATAGCGGTGAGAGTAAGCGAGCGTGATTTAAGCTGCAGGAGCATAAAACATGATATAATACCCTTGACCTTTTCTATTATACCACAGGAAGCACGACTGCCGGCTGGCTGCACAATGCCCCATCTCTGAATCCTGCATTTACAGCCTCTCCACCACTGCTATCTTCAATCAAAGGGACTCTAATGTTGGTAGTTACCAGCATAATTACACTATTTCTTTCATCTCTGACCTCTTAACTCCCTCGACCGAAGCCCACACTCTGCGCCAAAATGGCAGCCCCTCCTCCAAAAGAGCATTCAAATTAGAGCTCCCCACGTCTTGGCGCCCTCCCCCTGACCTTGACTTTAAGTGCACGGCACATTCCTAAAGCAATTAGCAGAGTAATGATCGTCTAACAAGGATTCTTTCATTTGCTCTTGCTGGCTGCCTCTGAATTTATAGAGGGGCCAAATGAAACCCAAACGAAAGGTAAATTGGGTAGAATTAATGGCCCTTGGATTTCTCCATTGTGCCGGTTGGTTCATGCCCCTGTACACTCATGGGGGGCTGAGTGCCATGCCTTTGATCAAGAGCAACTCCAAATGGGGTTCGGAGAAGTGCCACTTAACTCACCGTGCAACTTGAAGCAGCAACTGCCCCTCAGTATGCATTTGACCACATTTCAATCTCTTTTAGCAAATGAATCCTTAGAGACAATCCGCCTCTCGCTGTCTCGTTAAAGTGCTACAATCCAGAGAAGAGTCAATGGCTCCACATTCAGAACAAACCGGCGCAATACTCACAGTGAGTCAGCGACATGCTGTAGTGCAGAACAAAACACATCCACTGTTGGGAATAGAAAATGTGCGGGAATTGTTTAAGAGGACAGGACCCACAGGAGCACATGGCTCAGTCCTTCGAGTCCCCAGCTGCAGTTAGTCCAGGAATTAGGCTTTTCCTGCATCCACTCTTTTAGTCAAAGGGAGGGCAGTTTTGAACACATCACTTCATTTTTCTATTGAAGCAAAAAATAAAAAATAAAAATAAGAAAAGAGGAAAAAGAAAAAAAGGAAAGTGGAAGATATGCCTGAAGTGTAAATTCGGTTTCCCCTTAAATTCATCCCTCTTCTTTTTAAGTTTGCCAGAAAAAAAAGGATTTTCTACTTTATTTTACTACTATGAATACTGCTATTACAACTGATAATAATAATAATTTTATTATATGCTTTTCTATGAAACAAAATTTCATTATTCTCAATGTTTTAAAGGTGATATTCCACAGACAAGAGAGCAAATAACCTTTGACCTTTGCTCCTTGTTGTGTAATTTGATTGGTCACTTTTTATGATAACACATATTTTTACTATAGCAGCTTCTATCCCAAGACCTTTGGTGCCATCTAAACTGGGATTTGGCATGATTTGGTGAAATCTGGGATAACAGGTGCTGGCTTATATTCAGGACCACAATTACCACGTTAAAGGTGGGGCAGGCAGAAATCCGTTCAAGAAGCACCTTTTTTTGTGGTTTATATACAAAAAAGCTTTTAATATCAGTCAATAGCTATTAGTCATTGATGACATTTGGTAATATCACGATATCGCTGTGTATTATTATGTCTGTGTAGTCAACATTTTCAAATTTCAGAGCGCTCCGCTCTTTCTGACTGTAAACAAAGCCATTCTCCGCCTCCCCCAACCTGATGGTTGTGAGGCAGATGCTGCTCCCCCGTGTCGTTTATGAGCCCAAACAAAGTTAGCGTGCTACAATATCGGACAGTAGAAACTAACCAGAAAGTTTGGAAAATTGTCTGAATGGTCCTTTGGCCATGACTGCCAACACAAGCAAGAAAATGAAGTAAATACCAGAGACTCTAGCGGAATAACGGGCGCTTAAAAAGGAGGTGGACCAGTCGGACAAGAGCTAAAAAGCCGGGTCACCATCAGTGAAGCTCGCGTAAACTATGGGGGAGGCTTCGGGATCTTGCGGACCCTGTAACCTTTCTGCTAGACAGGTAAACCACTTTAACAAAGTAAGCCAAGTGTCTGTAACAGAAGTGTTTCTTGTCAAACGGGACCTGCTGCATGTTGTAGCGCCGCTAAACTGTTTACCTCAGGTCCTGGACTATGTCACTTTATCCTCGTTGTAGAAGTCCTGCAAACATTGTGTTTGCTGGTAGTCTGTTGTCATCCACAGACGCACCAATGCTTTTTACTTTCACTTTGACTGGGCCCCATTTGTAATTCTCTGAAGTATTTATCTGCATTATATCTGAATTTAATTGGAACAGGACGATACAAGGATGAGCGTCTGTTTGTGGGCGGGGTTTGAAGGGGCAAAGACAGAGGGGAGAGGAGGAGCTAAGGGGAGAACTGGTTGGGAGGGGTAGTGTTTACATTCAAGATTTCTCCCCAAAACTGGCACTTCCTGAGACCCTGCCTACCCCACCTTTAATGCTGTCCGTTTGCTTCGTTTCTATCTGTTTGTTTAATAGTATTGTGAGAATTAAATGCACTCTTGCAAACACAAGCTGAGGTTATTGCATCTTGAATTTTTGTTATTATTGTATTATTGGTTATATGTTTTTTTCACAAGTCATTTGCACCTGATAAAGCCGCCTCCCTCTGCCACTTCCTACGACTGAAAGTATGAATCCGTAGGAGGCTCACCGTGCACTTGTCGTGAACCATGATAAAGTGGGTGAAATTACACGCTCGTGAGCCGTACTTAAAACACATAGAAAGAGTGCGACAGATGATATCTAGGATGTTTGATTTATTACTATGACAAGCACAGGAAGGCTTTTTAATGATTTATTGTTTCAGTCAAGTTTCAGGTCATCAGCTTCCAGGCAACAATCTGTTCGGGAAAATAACAGGAAGGCTGTCAATGGACCAACAATAATCTTATCTGCTCCTCACAGCCCGAAACTGGATGTTACGAAATCTAACGCTCCGTCTCTGGAAAATGAAGAAAATATTTTATTCAAATGATGCAGCGTTTATCAAAACAAACAGCCAATAGGCAGCATTGTACCTTAAAAGACAATTAATCAGAGCTATCCTTTTAAAACGGCGGGTACATATTAATCACCCCAGCTCTGAGTCGCAGTCTCTAGTGGGATGCTGCGGTGATAAGAATGGTTCACCTTGGGAAATCTGAGGCAGTCACTCAAAAACAAGCAGCATTAATGAAGAGTAAAAGCCATTACCCCTGTGCTGCATCTGATTTCATCACACACTTGGGCTCACGTATGCAAACACGCGCACAAACTCAGACACCTCGGCGCATAATATGAAGCACTGGAAATGAATGAGTCTGCAGAGTCGAAGCCTGCGTCAGTCATTCAATAAGATGTAATGAATCAAAGCACGGCTCCTCTAATCTCCACACTTGTTGGTGTTATTTCACACACCCTGATCAGCACTCTTCATGAGCTTGAAGCACATGCCTGGATGTGTTATTAAATCTCATAGCGGAGTGCTCAGCACATTCACTCTGGGATCAAAACAGCAGAGATAACATTTCTGTTTCATAGCCTGCTTTGTATTCAAGAGGGTTTTTTTTCATGTAGTTGCACAGGACATTACAACATATGAAAATGTCTCTGCTTGTCCTGATCTCTGATTTTCATCTCACTGTGCCTTACAGTGAAGAGGAATGTCAAAAAATTCGGATGTAATTGAATAAAAAGATAGTCATGTATTTCAGTAAACTCTGCTAAAGTGATAAGGAGCTTTAGCTTCCGTGTAAAGATTTCTCCAGAGGCACTAACAGCTCCTGCATTCATGGATTTGAATTCCTTTTGCTTTTTGCACCTCTACATTGCACAAGCAGAAAACAGCCTGACCCCCGAGTGTAACTCCAAAAGGATGTGAAGAAGAAGAGACCCCAGCTGAAACAAACCAACATGTGTGTGTGTGTGCAGTTATGCGTGTGTGTTGAGGGTCAATTCATACTGGAAGCCCATCCCTGCTGTACAGGTCAAGGACGGTGGCATCATCTCTTCAGCCTTGTCAGATGGTAGTTATTCAGTTTGAAATTTCCAGGGCCACCATTGTTACACACTGTGCTCTGACATGGCAGCCGTGGCAAAGGTCACTTTCATATATCTCTCAGCCTCTGTCACAAAAACTCAGGCAATTATGCTGCTTTACAAAGACACAGCGCTGAAATGCAGGCTTGTGAAAACAGATGAAGTCAACGTCTCTTTCGTTTTTTTCTTAACGTGTCATGTATGAGAGCATGATGGATGAAAGGCAAACAGAGTGAGGAGCACGGCGTTTGTGGTAAAATCTGACTCTGTGCACCCTGATATGAAATCGGAATAAAGCTCAAAAATACAAATAGGAAAAAGAGAAAAAAATTGGCGGACACACGTGGCATCCTGCTGGAATGAATGAGAGTTCAGCCTCCCAATTACAAACTGCCGCCTGCCCTCTGTTTGGCCACAAAGGCCTTTGTTATCACTGGACCCACAAACAGAGCCTGGATGTGCTGCTGGAATGGACTGCAGCGGTATGCATGACTCAGCCGATAAACGCAGGGAAAAAAAAGGAGAGCTGAGTTTTTCATCCCTCCTGGTATGTTTTAATTGCATAGCTCTGCATTTCCTGCTGCAGAAGGTGAGGGCTGAAGGGGTTTCTGGGACAAAGTGTGACAAATGTCAACCTTATAGGATGTCTTATTTCCAGACAGACATCTTTAGTGCTTTTTCTAGGTAATTTTTTGCCTTAGACTAGGTCGTATAGCTAAAGAGAGACAACCTGTGAGGGGTCCTGGCCTGGAGTCTTACCAGCAACTGCTGCCATGTGGACTACAGCCTTGAACTGCCAGGCGGAAGGTCCTTTCACACCGTGACCGTTTTTGTCGTGCAATTATTTCTGACGTCAATATTTTTTTTTGAACCTGTATCCTGTCAATACAAGCATTCACATCAGCGACGTTTTCCCGTTCTGCGATATTGCGGCATTTATTTTTTCGAATAACAGTCGATTTTTCTAAAGTTTCGCATACTGTGTGTCCACTTCTGACCAATCAGATTGCGTGTTGTTGCGACGTCTGATTCACCGGTATATCCAACATGGCAGACCGGCTGATTGTTTACGTGTCAGAGAACAGAGTGCTTTTTGATGAAAGACACAAACATTACAAAGATAATGACCTGAAGGACAACTTGTGGAGAGTCATAGCGTCGGATCTCTCATATGACGATAGTTTGCGTGCTTCTTTGTTTTAACTTTCATCCGTGCTAACGTAAGCTAACGGTTGTTACCATAGTTTAATGTGCTTATCAGGTACTCCTCCCCGAGATGCATCTTTTTCCCCTGGAAAGTCGCAAAATCGCATCGGGCTTTATGTGTACAGTCAGGCGCGTCAAAATTTGCCTCTGAATATTTCGTAATTTCGCGTTCTATATTAGCGTGGGCCCCGGTGTGTAAGGACCTTGAGCGACGTCCCTTCAGGATGTGGGTCTGGCTCCTCTAAAGAGGGGATCAACTCATTGTCCCTGAATGAAGCTCGAGTGTCCACTCACCTGAATTTGCAGTCGAAGTATGCGCATATGATAGATACTATACAGCCCTGTTTGTGTATGGTACCTTCAGCATGCAACTTCTATGTTAGTTTTTCTGCATTTAAGCACATATTTTGGGTAATATCCTGCTTTATGTACTTCTCCCTCTCAGTCAGGCATAATTACCCACACAGCACCGAGTGGCTTACATGCAACGCACCAAAAATATGCCACTTGGCCCCTCCATTCATTTTATACGCTTTGATAATTACAGCATTATTAATAAATGTAACTTATCTGTGCAGCAGCGAGTGACCTTGAGAGCGTTCCTTTGTTCAGAGCGGCAGAAAAAAAGAAAGTGAAAAAAGGAAGTATCGGGCGCTGTAAGGCACAAGTTGCTGCCTTTGAAAAGGCTGGATATTCCTCTCAATTAATGGAGAGACATTAAGGGAGTCTTCAATGAACTGGCCTTACTTAAACAGATATATAGAGCAATTGCTATGCCCTCTGGTGCACAAAGTCAGTTTTAACATCAATTAGTGAGCGATTTATATGCAGAAAGAGTCGAAGCAGAGCCAGAGCTGATTGAAGTGGCTCCACTGTATCTCTCGGTGAGGTCCCACTTACATAGTCGTTTACTGCAGGGTGGTCCAGGACGTCTCGGGCAAAACGCTGACCTGTGACCTCCACATCGGGTGTGTCCACGTTTTCCTCCTCGGCATCTGCAGTCACAGAGACAGCAGTAAAAACAGAAGGTATTTATGTGGTTGTTACGTTTTTTTTTTCCCATTGTACTCATAATTTGGCAGTGACTTGATGTTATTTACTCACATTCAGGAGAAATTCAGTAAAGTCTGCTAAATTAATCCAAACAACATTTATAAGACACTGTAAACACCATACCCACACATGGACAATTATTGCAGCTGTATATAAACTCCCCTTTGTGCATGTATTTCAGGAATACTGTCAATTTAACTGTCTTTGTTAAAAACTGTTGACTCCCTTTTAAAATGATCCCCCAGAAGACCAAGACCCAGCTTGACTCCACTTTCTTTAAGACATTTCTGCTTTATGTATTTTATGCATACCGACTTCTGAAATCAAATTTCCTCCCTGAAGAGTTTCAGGCAATAATCTGTTTTTGAATTCAACTTAAGCCTTGAGTTTTATCACCCTAGACTTGATAAACCCTGTGTTGGTATGTTTCCTCTAATCCACCTCACTTTTTATTCATTTTTCTCCCTTCAGTAGAATAAATACATTGGGTTTATATTAGTTGTGTATACACTTTAACACACTACACATGGTATTTGAAGTGCCGTCTTATAGTCATGCACATAAATTAGTTTGTTCAGTGCAGAAATATTGTTGGTCTCTCTTTATAACAGTTTAAGCTTTCCGTTAAAGCATATGGTCTAAATCTTTTTCAAAAATGTGGATTCAAATACCTCTTCACTTGTTACTCTATCAAAATTAATGTTAAAACTCCACCTGTCCATGAATACCTGGTTTTTGACCCATATTTTTGCAGGATAAACAGGTTAAAAATATCACTTACTAGCAGATATTTTACAGATTTAGTTGAAGATGACTTTTGAAACTCAAATGACTATAAAACTCTATGCAGAATACGACATAAAAAAAGCTGAATGATTTATTTCTTCATCTGACAAGTTGGTTTTATCCAGGTATAACAGTTCAAGCAGTATACAAGTGTCAGCTCAAAATGCAAAGAGGGTTTTTTTTTTGTGTGTGCCAGTATTTTACCAAGAAGACAGAGCTCAAAGAGACAAAAAGCCGCTCATGCTGAGATACATAGCAATGCCGACCAGTCTGGTGGTGCCACTTTTTAGCTGGTTTTAACCAGGGGTGAAAGTAGGATAACAGAGCTACCGTAGTTTTGAGTAACTATGGTTAACTGAATGAGATATCCGATCCCAGGCCAACCTATTAGTCCTTTGTGCCTAATACTGCGTTCGAGTAACCTCGCAAGTCAGATGTCGTAGCTGAAAATGACGTCACACCCGAGTTTCCAGTGTCTCAGTTACCAAGTCGGAAAAAGCAAAATCGGAGGCCTGAAACAAGATGGCTACATCTACAAAAGTTATTTTAGCGCATGCCTTATAATCGTACGAGACACGCTAAAATAACTTTCGTAGATGTAGCCATGTTGTTTCTGCCTCCGTTTTTGCTTTTTTTCCGACTTGTTAACCGAAACACTGAGTTTGTTTTTGGGTTTTGACGTCTCTGACTATCTTTCACACACAACAGCGCTAACATTTATAACCCACTCGACGTAATGCAATATTGACAAATAAATGTATTTTGTCACAATTTTAATTTCTAATTTCTGGGCTAGCATTAGGGAGAGCAGCTGGCATAGAGGTGAGGACATCAGTCTTAAGGTATAAATCAACATTAAGAAAGGCAAAAAAATTTCGCAGCCCATACTTTAAGTTTCACTCTTGTCATTTTCTGAAACTTGGCAGCCCTGGGATAAGGTTCTTGCAGGTACTGTACCTGTAGGCTTTGTACAAGAGGAGCACATCCAAATTTAACAAGGTGCCGACTCCGATGCCACAGTATCGTCATCTGCAGCAGCTCTCTTTCTCTTGAACATAAAATCAGTTTTCTTCTTCATTTTGTTTTATTTCCGCATTAAGATTAAAGCAGCTGTCTCTTTAAAAGTTCCCTTCTTCCGCAAAAGGCGGGAGGCGGTCGCCTAGGCAACCAGCGTCCAATCAAAAGTGCGCACTGAACGCGCCTCCAATTTCTGGAATTTGTTTCCGGAAGCAAATACGACTCACTCTATGGCAGCATTGTCCCATTGGATTACTACGGTTACAATGAAGAGTGCAGACTGACGTGCGGCAACACGGTAAGCAAATGTAGTCTACATACATTATAGGGGTGAAAGTTCGTGTACCGCTGCGTACCGGCTGTAAACTGCTGTTTACGTCTTCCTGGTATGGCGTACCGCTGCGTACCGCTGCCTACCGGCTCACGTTCACCACTGGTTTTAATCTTTACAGGTTCTGAGTTGCAGGTTTAAAGCAAATTGTGAACCTTGCTGTGTTTGGTGGAAAAGACTTATCAGTTTAAGAAAAGCAGTGACCAGCAGAAGTGATGGGAGTGGGTGGTTTGGTCACAGACAGTTGGTCACGCCTCACAACTATTAAACAGATGTACTTGAAAGAGCTAAACAGCAGCTAAGTTTTGTTGAATCCCTTTTAGAGACCCCCAAAACAGACTGTATTTTACACCCAGATTATTGGTGCCACCTATATTCTGGGTTTTACAGTAACTGTAATGGAGAATATGGAGCTGGAGTATGATGGAGCTTAGGCCGGAAGCTCATACTGTATGTTTTGGGAAATCTCAGAGTCTCTCCACACCTCCATATGGCCTTGGGTGTTGCCATCCAGTGAGACTGTTAATAGTCTACGTTTAGAGGCCAAGGTGCCCCCTGCTCTCACCGCTGAGGAGGGAAGGATGGATCCAGTGGATGGGCAGCTCCTGGCAAATCTCCCAGATCTTGGAGTCAAAGAGGAAGGCCGGGTTAACGATGGGCTCCTCAGCAGGAACCCACACTTGGGAGTCGTCCATTTTGGTATCCATAGCCTCAGTCTGATCCACCTGCTGGAAAACATCACACACACATACACACACATACAAATGCAGATATACATATATAATACAGCATGTAAGGCCTGCAAAATTGTCCAGACCCCACACAAAGTAATGTCCTGCATTTGCACCCTCCTCCCCTGAGTCACGAAGTCACTCTACCCTCATCGTTTTATCTTTCCCCCTCTATCCTCAGAGAGGGCGGCCACTTCCTGACTCCCTGACTCCCCCCTGCCCTGACTCCCCTCCTCTTCTCCTCCCTCTCCTCCTCAAGCCTGCGGCATGCTCTTTCTATTATACATCATTGAAATTCACAGACAGTGATGATTTGACTTTTAAATGACTTTAGAAGTGGTCTTCATTACTCTGAGTGTGGCTGCAATATCGTTTAATGTGACAGACACAATAAAGCCTTGCATTCTCCTCCCTCCTCCCCTTTTTGCCTCACTCTCTCCCTCCAACCCCCCACCCCCCACAACAATGCTTCGCTTGGCACCCAGCATTATCAGAGGGCTTAATTTGTTGATACTGTAGTTCATGAGCTGTAAAGTAAACTATTATTGCTTAATGATAGGGACTACATGTCAGTGCTGTCTAATAGAGACATATGAAGGGGATTTGGTAATGCTCTCCCGTAACAGTGGAGATATTTATTTTCTTCATGTATATGTAAATACACACACAAACAAACCCTTCTTCCCATTCCCTTGTTAATTAGCAACCCAGAACAGAAAAACAGTTCACTTGACAAATGTTTTTACAAGGTGATTTTCTCCCAGTCTAAGGCTTAATTGCACATTAGTTAAGCTTGACGTAGAATCCCGGGGCTATAGTGGAAGCGAGAATCATTTATAACGGGTCGTGCCCCCCTCCCTCATGTTCACCCCTGTCATTCTCACTTGAGTAAGAGTTTTGCTTTTCATGCTGCTTCTTGTTTGTCACTGTGCCACACACTTGTGACCTGCGGAGAGGAAAAAAAGTGCACTTTGTCACTTTGAAGATTGTGTTTGGGCGCAGCAGGTGATACACTTTCCTCTTACTTTTAAGCAGCAGCCAGCGGACTAGTAAAGACTGGAAGGACTGGTTGTTGCGGTGGTACTGTAAGGCATAAAGGGTGCTCCTGCGTTGAGTTAGTGCTCTCACCAAGAAATTAAAATCAACCCTGAAGAACACAAACAGCACTCTCTAATTGGACCTCTTAACCGCTGAAGCCAAGTGAGTCTTCTCTTGAAAGTAAATGGAGGTCACGACAGGGGGCTCACAACATGACTTTGTTCACAGCTGAGAAATGACTCCAATAACTTGTAGGAGAGGGCCTGGGGGTGGGGGGGTTGGGGGGTGGTAAAGGTCAGCGTTTTAGCATGGGGCAGGGATTTCCAAATGCCAGTTGACAAGCACAAAGACAACATGATTATAGTCCTACAGCTCACACTCACTCCTGAAAGGCTTTTCTGTTTTGCCATTGAGGAATGATATATTATTAGGACACAAGCAACTTTTTATCAAGTACTAGACCTTGGGAATGATGGTAATTTCTTTTGGGCTGCCTGCTCCTGCTGTATATACGCTTTCCGCCTACAGTGCACAACTTAATTATACACCAGTTGTGCTGTAGTTAATGAATTTACCCTCTCCTGCCACTGTGTCCCGAGGGGGAAAACACTGTCTACATGACACATTGTGTAAAGAGGTGCTGTGTTTGCCAGAGATCAACAAAGATTTGCTCATGAAACCCAAGTGCTTCGCTCATGCTGTACATAAGACAGGCAGGAGAGTTTATTATAAAGTGTAACGGTTTAGTTAAGGTTGGCAGAAAACTCCCGAGCTGTTTAAAAAGCTGTGCTTTTGTGTTACAGACTGCAAATCCTAATCTGAGAGCTTCACTATTTCTCAGCAGCTATAAAGGCAAAGAAATATTCGATTGTATTTCAGGTCAAAGCAACATATTTGATAACCCACAACATACCCACAGCTTAAAGCCACAGACGCTTGTTTGTAGTGAGACCTCGGCCGAGTCCATGGACTGCAGTGGGGTGACGCAGCTCAAGGAAGAACATTTATTCTTCATGAAAATGCAATCAGAACCAGACATTAAGGCAGAAGAACTACTGCGTCTGCAGAGCAAAATGATTAATATGATGATTATTACTTTAAGATAATAATAAAGTAATGATCATAAATGTTCCTCCTTGAGCTGCGTCCCCCTGCTCAAGTCCTCTTTTTTCTGTACAGCTTTGTATTTAAAAGTTATTAGGGAGTTCATGTTTTCTGTGATTGACACTTGATACAGCCTATACAGCCAAGATTGCGTAGCTCACCCGAGGGATACACTGTTTGAACCGAGCGTCATCACAGCGACTCTCAGCGACTCTCCCACTGAATGCATACAATGCTACTGTGCAGGTGGTGGAGTGCGTACAACGCTACTGCGCAATGTTGTTTTCAGGAAGTGGAGAAAAAACGCAGAATTTCTGAGAGCTTTTGGCTTCAAATCTGTATTCTGGCGCAAGGCGGAACCAAGTTGTCCATATACAGTCTATGGTGATATTATATCTTGACATGTGTTGACATTTTTTGATTGTAGCACTTGCACTGTATTGTGTATGTTTGTGAATACTGTGTATGCGTCCTTTTAGGTAGGGTACCCTATGAGACAGTATGATGAGCTTAATTGATAAACACTTGACTTTTCACTGTATGTCTACCTGCTGGGAGCACACCTGTTCAGCCAGATTTATGGGATATAGACTGGGGAGATGACAGATCCCACAGAGGTTACAGTTCTGTTAATTCAGAGTTTTCGTGGCAAAAGTGACAAGTTCTTGAGCCTGCTCCGTGGACTGATGACCGGTAGCCATGTGCACACCATCACCACCACCTCCAATCAGTTTTTGCAGCATTTTTTCCTAGTGCTCTGTGTAAGTCATTCTGACTGGCATGTTTGTTGCTGTGCAGTGGCGATGACACGTCATACAGAAGTGGATTACTGCAGACTTGGTCTGTCAGTCTGTCTTTAAAACTCTGGCAATTTTCGTCCTTGTTGCTGTGTTGGCTGTCACATGTCTTCTGCCCTTTCACTATCTCTACTGTTAATGTGCAGACTGCACACTTTGAGGACTGTCATAGCTGATGCACCAAACCAACACTGGGAATGCATTGCAGCCATCATGCACTCGTGTGAAAGTAATTAATACTAAGTTTATCAGTGGTTGAATACAAGATGTTGTGGTGTATGGTATGCAATTATATCCTTTTGTATTGTTTTGAAAAACAACTGGACTACAAAAGAAAGCTATTTAAGCTTTGAGCATGAGAGAAATGTCAAACTAACATGGCTGCAGGGGCTCGACAGTGTGACTGTTTCACTCGCATTTGCGACTAAAAATAGATGTATGTGAATTGTAAAATGTATTTAGGTGTATTCTGATAAAAGAATCATGGCTACAAATGTTTTTTCATGTAAATACTGCTGTCAAGTTAGTTTTAGGTTGGATATTTGACGTCCATTCACTGCAGATCTTCCGGTGTCTTTTTGCTCTCCATAACTGGGAATAGCAAGAGCAGCACGGTTAAATCCACTCAACACCTTCGCTGTCAACGTCAGGTGTTGTATAAGGGACCATCAATAAATTACTGGTTGATGTTCTCCAAAAAAGGCTGTTTTCCTTAAATAGCTTCCATGTCATGTGACCAATTGACCTAAAATTGATTTCAAATTATAGTACTAAGATCGGACAATAAGGCACACCTCTTTATTTCCCTATTTGTCCTCTAAATTTTTTTTGTGTTAAATTTAAAGGCAAATTTGAACATTTTCTTCAATAGCTTCAGTGTCACATGACCAATTGACCTAAAATTGATTTCAAATAATAGTACTTATGTCGACCAGTAAGACACATCCCTTTATTTCCTTAATTTGTCCTCTAAAAATGTTTGTGTTAAATTTTAAGGCAAATTTTGAACATTTTCTTCAATAGCTTCTATGCCATGTGATCAAAAGACCTACAATTGATTTTAAATAATAGTACTTATTTCGACCCACACACATTATTTGATCAATTTTCATTGTGCCCCTAAAGTTCCTTGCCTGCTCCTTACTTTTTCAACTTGGGAGCACATGTGCTGAAAAAAGTTAGTGTCAAGCCCTGCTGCAGTTTGGTGAACTGTTGACCTTTTGGTAACAGCAAAGGATTGAAGAAGGGTCAAGGTTAACTTACAAGTATGAAACACAGTTTAAAGTCCATGTTTTTGACAAACTGTGTTAACTAACGGACCCTCAGTGTGTGTGTGTGTGTGTGTCTGCAAACTTGTTAGGACAGAAACCAAAGCAAGTTCAAAAAGTTATTTGTCTGATCGGGACTAGCATGGTAGCAATTAGCAGACACCAAGTGTAAGAGCTGAAGTTGGTGGTGTTTGTGCCTGAGAAGTATCATTGGCCAGCCTGTTGTCAGTTCAGCTTTCCTACTTATGCAGACAACATGAGAAAAACAAATTGTACTGTGTGCCTGCAGGACTTTTAGTGTAGTCAAATCCTCCGTTGGTGTGTTTTTTGTGCTTTTCTTCAGAGTCCTGTTTGCTCAGTTTGCTGTTGTTGCCTGAGTGGGAGGTTTTGGGTTGCTGGGCAAGCTTTGGTCATCCATATTAAGTGGTTGTTTAATGGAGCAAGCAGCATCCGTCGACAATGTTAAAGGTTGTGAGGGAGGCAGATGGTGGTTTCTGTGTCAAACTGGGGGAACTGGAATGAAGCTAAGGGATTACTCCTCAGACATTTTATAGAGGAGGCAAATTGAAAAGGGAGGGAAAAACCCTGGCAAACAACCCCTGTTTTTCACCTGGTTTTCCCTCACAGGGGATGCATTTCCTTATCAGCTGCCTGCAGTTTTTCCGCAATTTTTGCCATTGTTTTTTTTATTTTTTTACCTCGGCTCTAAAGCCTGCTGTGGCTGCCGTGAGCCTTCTTTCCTGAAAGCCTGTGGCTGGGTTAAGCTAGGAACCATTAGTGCTTGGCTTTAACCCCTGTGAGCTTTATGTGTTTCACCACCTGAGGAGGAACTTGTGCTGATCTTTTTCAGGGTCACATGTGGGTGGATTTTCGGAGAGGGTCGCTGTCTAATGTGAGGACAGAGCACAGTGAAGTCAGGCCAAGGTCATTGTTTATTACCTTAATGTGGCCCCTTTGATATTTTGCCATGCTTCTATTGTCCAGTCCAGTGTTTTCGCAGAAATACAAGCTCTCGTAAAAAGAGGTGTAAACACAGTGGAAATACACCAAGTATAATAACAAAACCATCAGTGTTTGAAATAGAAATGGTGGGTGAATATTGTGTGCCATTTGTATTGTTTCTAACATATCGCTCTGATTATTACTCCAAATTACTTTGACATTTTTAGAAATAGAATTATTCAGTCCCCTGCCTGGCGATGGCTGAGAAGATCAATGTCATTTCTATGGACAGATGATGGCCCTGCACCCTTAATTCATTTATCCAATGCACATGAGAAGTGCTCAGATTTACATTTTTTATTGCTGCTGTCACAAAGTCTTTTTATTTTTACACAAAACTGGCCTTTCTGTCTCAGTGTGTAGAGCAGTTCCTTGTGCCTATAGGACACCACAAAGCCATTCTCCTGTATATCAACAAATATCAACCTGCTCCCCCGTTTCTATAGTCCCCTCATCAGCACTGAAGCATATAGAGAGGAAAATTTCCACTCAATCTTCTTCCAGATTGTCAAAATTGATGATTTGTGAATTTATGCTGGATCTAAATGAATTGAACCTAGAGCCCTGGGACCATCTGGTTTTATCTATAACTGTATGCATTAGGGTCTTTTTTCCAGTCCTGTTCCTCCAACCAGGGGGACTCTGTTAGTTACCTCTGTTTGTACTCTTAACCCATACCAGTAAGCTTATGGGTCTAAAACTAAACGGTGACTTGAACGACTTCTTCCTACCTTGTTGTCTGCATTTGGGTCTTTTTCCATTGTATCTGACCCCTCAAGAGATGAATGTTGCCGACCACTTGCTTCTCTAGTTATACCAACTTTAGTAACCAACACACAATGAAGTTAGGTGCTGTTCTGAGCATTATTTGTGGCTATAGAGTGGCGTTTGGTTGAGGTTTGTTTATGGCTCCTCAGACCGCTGTGTATTGCTATCGTGCGATCATTACATTCATCTCTCGAGGGGGTGTCTAACTTAGTGTTGCGGTGTGTTTGACCTAAATTAATTTTACGCCTGAATATCCCTTTAAGCGAGTATTATTATTAAACCATGTAGTTTGCAACTGAATAGAACAGCTTAATGCAAATAGTATTTCAAAAAAACATATTCTGTCTAAAGGTAGTTCATCAAGCATGGTATAAAAAATCAAGTTAGCTCATGGCAGTCCCAATAAGAGCTTCTGTAACGACTAGTATGAGTCCATGTCACTTTCTTGGCCTTGGTTGATTCACTTTGGAGCTGTGAATTAAGCCAATTAGGCTTCACAGTGCACAGAAGAAGACAGATATGGCATGGACATATGGTGCTGCTTGGGCAATTAGTACGTGTAAATGTGGATCAGACATTATGTACATAAGAGGAAGGAAAAACAAAACAGCCTTTGTTTTTTAAGGGTGCAACAGCTTGGGTTCTTAAAGTTAAGACTGAGTTTGGGTTTTGCTTCAACTGACAATTGGCTTATTCTGTGTTTAAAATTGAGCAGCGAGCCGGGAGCTTCAGATATTTGCCAGCTACTGTACTTCTTCCCAGATACAATATGAAATGTAAATGAGAGCGTGCAAGCAGAAGAGACATTTGAGAGTGGGATTTTCTCTTTGAACATACAGCCCACTCAGGGAAATGCACTGTGACACAGAAAAATTGGGAATTTTGATTGATTGAATCTCTTCCCCTTCCTTTTTGCAGAAGTTCACATAGGACTGTAAGAACCCAGAGAAGTAAAAAATGAATCACTCTAAACTTATAGAGGCAGCCTTGTGAATTTTACAAAGCAATCCTCTTTTTAAAAAATACGGTTTTAATGGCTTACCTCTCACTCAGACCACTCTCGCACCCTTCCCCCTTAAGGCTATTTGGGTAGAGCCTTTGGAGGAGATGATTAAAAATTAATATTGGCTCAAGATTGACAGCAAACAGCATTTGAAGTGAGCCACAAAGAGGCTACGGGTTTGTGGGCAGCTTTCTGACAGTTTCACAGGCATCACAAACCCTGGTTTATTCTTCAGTGAGAGGGCCGGGGGAGACGGGATAAGATGGACAGGCTGAGGATTTGTGTGGTGCTCTCAGTGCTCTACTCTGGTTATCTCTCGACAATATGCATGACAGCCTCTGCAGGACTACAGAGAATCCGAGGAACAGACAGCTGTGGGAGGAGGCTCACCACTAACTCTGTGTCCTCAGCCTTCACCTCTGCCACTGTGGGTAGCTTTCTGGTTTGGGTCCTGATGTAGCACCTCTGATGTTCAGCAAACCGGATCCCAGTGATTCCCTTTGAAAAAAAAAAAAAAAGAAATGAAGAGGATGCTCAGAAATTCAGATATATGTATGATTCATTAGCTCTCTGTGATGTGGATATCCTGTAACTGGGGCGATCATTTTAAAACGCCCATCTTTTCACCGATAATCAAAGCTCTTAAAAAAGTCAAAGAAGTTAAAACCTAATGAGTGAGAGAAGAGGTGTGTGTTTGATCTTTTTTTTCTCCGCGCCTGGTAGAAAATTGATGACTGCTCAGCCCCTACAACACAGATCTTGCTCTCAAGCTGAATAGAAGTAAAAAAGCGGGGGTGTTTCAACGTGGATGTATAATACTTATAGCCGGATAGATCGCACAGGAGAGCCGAGCGACATTGTTGAGAATGAAGTGTTTTCTACAGAGAGTGCCCCCATTGAATTAGGCAGTCATAGGTCCCTGTCACTCTCTTAATCTGCGCAGTCAAGTGTGGAGTCAGTCTCTTCAGCTCCACTGATGATCCTCCACCATGTGGACTGTAGCTCTATTCACTCTGACACATTGAGCCTCAATAGGCCCGAAAGATCAGTTAATTCTCACTCGCTGCCATTCTATGTTAATCTAAGATATTCAGCTGGAATAAGTCTGAAAGGCTTTCACTTGATCAGATTGTATCCAATTTATTTTCTGCAAAGTAGCGCTGCTCATTCAGCACACCACATTAGAACAGACAGCGGGATCTACTTTAAATTGTATCAGCTGGATATAGTATGAGTAGCACCATGAAAATAGACTTGATTCAATCTGAATTTAATTATAGTAACATGGTGATTGCAATGATGTCTCCTTTGAATTGGTTAACTTGACCATGTGGTATCTGTTTCTGTGTTTTCTGTGAGGCTGTCACTCCGAGTACCAGATACCAGGCGCACAAGACATGATACAAAGTGATGCCTGTCATAATCTACCGCGTGTAATTTCATCGGCGTGGAAAAAGGATGGGGCAATAATGGTCTCAAGCACAAAAGCATAATGTTTGTGCCGCGCTTTATTGTGATGAGTCTCTGTTTAATTTGGGTTCGCTGAATTGGTGAGCTGCAGCACAAGAGGAGAGGGGGATGTTGTGATGAGATACAGTGATTACTGGGGGTTGGTCAATCAGAAAATGAAGCGGGGCACATTAACACATGGATGAGAAATGGGAAAGCGATGTCATTCTAACATATCCATGTGCGAGATGCTCATCTGCGTCTAATCAAGAGAATAGATAACATGTCACCGCGCGCATCCCTCATCGTCAGAGAATTTTAAAAAATCTAAGTCACGCCAGGAGCTATTAGCTCGGTCAATGCATGGGCGCTATTGACATCATTCATACATTTAGGGGATGGATTCGGACAGATGAATGCTGGAGGGTATTATTTTTGCTCCACTTTTATTTGCTCTGTGAAAAGGATGCAGTTCAGTGTACAGCTAAAGAAAGAAAGGTAAGCTTTTCTCATGAAATTCCCCTCTGACCAGCACATGGCTGAAGGCGATCTGAAGGCAGACAGCAAAAAAGTATAAAAGCATAACAATACTGAATAGAATTTTATACACTGGAGAAGTTTTGTAAAAAAGTGAGAACAGCAGGCAGCTGGTAACTTTTTGTTTTTTTTAGTGGAGGGAGTTAAACAACAGCAAAGCTTACTAGTGGAATTGATTGATTTATGTTCAAGGGTTTCACTTGATTGTTTGATTTGAAAGGGATGATTCATCAACAGTTCTGGTGACAAATCTCAGCTCCTGCATTGCTCTGTACTAGATTAGTAGAGGAGGAAAAGCAAGAGAATAGTTGAGGAACAATGACTCTAGAATTGACTCTTAATTTTCCATAGTGTTTTACCAGCGCGTTAAATGCATGATTTGGTTGGCAGAGGGGTTCGAGGTCAATCAAGATCGACGAGCACAATATGTGAGCATCTATGAGTCGGTATTATGACCTCACATCCCAAAATGGTAGGATAATGGGTGCACAATGTCCATATTAATATACAATGAATGCTAAATCCCAGTGTGTTGTAAATGTGAATGTCAGAGTGAGGTTATCTGATTTCATTGTAAGAGAACAAACCTTAAAAGCAGACCTTTAAAACCTTTTAAAATGAAATAATCACATTTTAAACAGAGCAATGTGGTCAGGTCTAAATGAAGCATATATGTTATCTGTATTTAAACACCATAAAAATGATAATCATAAGTATATCTGCAGACTATGAATTGGGTGACAGGTCTGGAAATAACAATCTGTTTTTTTGTCGTGTAGCAACTCACATGCACATTTTAGGAAAACTTTCAGTCTACATTCTGTGACACCATATGTTTTGACTGACAGTTTTTCTCTGTCTCTGCTGCATCATAACTCATCTCTCTTACAAAAATCTCTGCCTCAGTTGTCAGGTTTTTGAGAAGGTTGAGAAGTTTTAAGCTGATAGACCACTTTCAAAAATGTTTTTCTCATGTGTATTTTAACTGAGGTGATGATTTGTCGGTTCGGTAATCTTAGGGCTAAACAGGGCCAAAAAAAAATGTTGGTGTTAACTTTGATAACCGGGTTTATGTTTCTCAGTTCAGAGCTACTCAGAAGGCAAAAGCTATCATTGAAGATCCTCACCAGCCTCTTGAAGCAGAGTTTAGACTTTAAGAGGAAGTTGGCCGAATCAAACGAGTATCTTAGGGTCATTTGTTCTGTCAGCGATAGAGATGGTTGACATTGCAAAGATTGGAGGGGCTCGGAGTAGAGCCACTGCTCCTCCACATTGACAAGAATCAGATGAGTTGGCTTGGGCATCAGATCAGCATGCCTCCCGGACGCCTCGCTGGTGAGGTGTTCAGGGCGCATCCCATGGGTAGGAGACCATGGGCAAGATCCAGGACAAGCTGTAGAGACTATGTCTCTCAGCTGGCCTGGGAACGCCTTGAGGTCCCCTGGGAAGAGCTGGACAAAGTGGCTGGGGAGAGGGTAGACTGGACATTCTTGCTTAGGCTGCTGCCCCTGCGACCTGACTCTTGATACATAAGCAGCTGAAGACGGCTGGATGGATGGCTGTATTAATGCACTCGGACAGTCCAGTAAAGACTGTACAGAAATACACAGTTCAACAATAAGAGTAATAAGTCATTGTTTTCATATTACATTGTAACTCATTTGTTCCTTTAGATCCTTTGATAAACAGCTTAAATGTACAATTAATGAGCTTAAACTGACCTCCATAACTTTATGAACAACTTGACAATCTAATGAAATCCAATACAGCAGATTATGCTTTCTGGAAGCTTCTATTCAGATTGTGTTGACATGATTTGACAGGTAATTATTGTACTTTTTATTAACCATTGAAGAAGTGGTGGGTGGTGTTCACAAACTAGAATGTGTTAGAACAACTTCAACAACTAATATGAGGAAAAATCACCACCTGTCTGACCGTGTCGACTAAAGCTACAAATGTAGACATTTTGAAAAAGGTAGAATTGCAGAGCTGTGGTATTGGGCTGCGTTAGATTGCCCAGGTGTTTATAATGATGGTGTATATTTCAGAACAATTTAGAACCAATTTCCCAAAATGTGCTTTTGTTCCCCTGTCAAGAATATTTATAAGCAGTTTGTCATATACGGTGACTCTCTCTGGGGATATCTCTGTCCATTTCTCTCTGGTTAAAATGAGTTTAGTATTGGACTGAAACAATAGTGAATGCATTTTGCCTGTGGTCTGCTCAGTCCTGGTGGCATAATCCCCTCATTTTCCATTCTCACGCAGCCCTGCAGCTTGATGGAGTCTCTTTTTAAAGGTAGCTGTGAAATAACATGCAACAGCCCCTTTTTTGTATTCAAAAAATCTATTCTTACATCAGCACATAAGCTACCACTTAGTATACCCTATTGTAAGTTCTGTGTGGGTTTCCTTCCCCCTTTTTTTCCTTCTCACAATAAGGTTTGAATTACTCTGCTCACTCGCTTGTTTCTTAGTCTTCCATGGTGGAGCACTGAATCAAACAAATCTCCTCCGGGGATGTGCTTCACTAACAGGAAGCGGAACAAGCAACAGGCGCGTGTGTTTATACGTGTGTGTGTGTGTGTGTGTATGTGGGGCACACACACACACACACACACACACACACACACACACACACACACACACACACACACACACACACACACACACTCTGGGCTTTGAGAAAGAAAGAAAGAGCAAGAAAAAAGGGATTGATTGCACAGGTTAAAGTTTTCCTGCGCTTTACTTAGTTTCCATCATACCGCCATTCTAAATTCACAAAGACTGCTGGAACAAAAACAAAAACAACTCAACATAGGTATGTTTTTTTTTTTTTTTTTCCAGGATGAGGTGTACCCTGTAACTTCCAGCCTTGCATCCCGACATTTCACAGCGAATAATGGAGCCAAAATAAGAGCATTCATTACCCAGTCAAGCAGCACGCTTCTGTCTCTAAGGTGTAGCATGTGTGTAACCTCCTGCACACTCCAGCAGCATTTAGGAATGAAAGGTAAGTTAATGAGTTCTACTGGAGACAAAATTGCAGCTGAAAAAAGGTTTGAGGAACAAATAGAGATGGATTCTTAATAGTGTTTGCCTCGGCACTCTGAAGAAGTTACTGTATATTATTAGCAGGAGAAAAACAGTCTCTTTGAAAGAGACCAATCTTTCTTTCTTGGCTGCAGTGTTCCCCAACACAAAATCCGTGCGTACACCTAGATGAGTATTCTACCCATGATTTTCTTTCTCAGGTGCCTCAAAGCTTTGTCACCACTTTTGTTAAAGGGGACAAAATATCGTTAAGGAAGAAATGAAGATAAATGTTGTCTTTGAAAAGGGTAGGATGTCAACATCATCATCTCATCCCGAGCTGAAAAGGAGACACAAGCACAAGAGTGAATAGGAGAACAACCTTCATGGCCTTGTTTAATCTTTGCTTACATTTTTGAAGTCATGAACCTCCACAACCTCCTGGGTCCCATTTCCCATTCTGAATATCTCAATGCGCTGACCTGGGTCAATCTCCATCATGCTGTCCGTCTCCACGCCATCCAGCACGGCTTTGTATTGATGGTCATACACCTAAAAGGACATACATAACCTTGAGACACTGCGACAAATAGATCAACAAAACATAAGTTTATTCATCATTGGCTGTCACATTTAGTCCTTAAACAACACAAGTGTGTTACAGAGTAATGCTTTTAGAGGAACAGCCTGTTCTGACCCCTTAATTATTGCACACTTTTCAGATGTGTGTGCTTTTCAATAAGTGTGGAGCTGACAGCTGTGTCCTAAGATAGAAAACCAGATGGGCCAATAAGAGGTCAGGGATCTTGTGTGCAGAAAAGTTCCACAAAAACAGCAACAAGTCCTCATGATGTTGACATATCTGCACTTCTTATTACAGGTCAACGGACAGAAAAAAAAAATCCTGTCACACCTACATTTTTTTCCAATCGACATGACTGAAAATGACCATTACAGAAGAAATGTGCTTCTTGCCTCAGATTGAAATCAATCACAGAAAAGCTGACAAAAACAAAATGTCAGACTGAGACAGTCAGACAGTCTGAAAATAAATAGCAATTCAGTCTGATTACAAGGCTGGTGTAAGAAAGGAAAAAGACAACTGCTCACAGGAGTTGGAAATACTTGCTTTGTTTGTGTGATTTTTACTGCATTCTCGAGCAGTGCTGGACAATTAATTTATCAGGATTCCTCTGGCAGCTTGTAAGATAATAGTTGACAATTAAGGAGACTGTCCTATCCAAATGATACAACAGTATATGACTCTATTATAGTTATTTACACTTCGGGGTTGGCAGAGATGATGACTTCTTGTCGCTGATAGTTACTGAATGTCAGAAGCAAAGACAGCTGTCAGGTTGGGTATTGTTGATAATAAGAAGTGCGGACAAAGAGACACACAACTTCACAACTTTGATAAACCGTCTTCAACCTAACTTTTTTATGTGGAAAAACCTCAACAACTGATTCCAACTAGACAGTGCAACTCGTGTGAACTGTTGCTTCAATCATTTGAAGAAGTACGCTACATCTAAGGTCGTGTTCACACCAAAAGGTCCGTTTTCTAATACAAACCAAAGCGAGGATGCTACATTGATGAAACATTTTTGCAATTTCTCAACTGGTCGGGTTCGCGTTCACAAAGGCCAAACTCAAACGGTCCAAAAATCGTCACGTGGCAGCAAAAGCTGTTCGGTGACTGCTTATACAGTTTGGGCGACAAATCCTTCGCAATTTTTACAGTACATCATGGAGCATCGTCTGCTCATTTTTGTGTTGGTGCTGATCTGGACTGCATATCAGCAGACTTTAATGGACTGTGCATATGAACGGCTTGGAAGACCAGGGCAATTGAATAATGTATTAATACACACACATCGCAGGAGACGCTCTGAAATCGGACGGTCATATCACAGAAGAGAGCCTACCTCGATGTTTTTTCAAGGCATGTTTCCTGTGATTGGTGCGCGTAGGGTTCACATCAGAAGTAAACGGCTTTAGAGTTCACTTGATAGCGGTCTGAGACCACCCCTACCAGGCGGACATGAGAGCGGTTGACTGGTCCGTACCAAAGTTCGAGGCCAGCGTTCACACCAACCAAAACGAATCGCACCAAGGAGGTAAAGGCTCCAGGGTTCAGTTCAACTGGACTAAACACAGCTGGTGTGAATGCAATATCCTCTCTTTACCTGAGAGATATACAGAGACCCTCATCTGTCTGCTGTTTGGTAGTGGGCAGGGACAGCTGTTAGCCTTGTTGTGGTAACTCGTGGCTCAAAAAATAAAACACTTTAAACTCTAGTCAATAGCAAAACAACTATTTCAATACTCTACTCAAACTTAATGTCTCAGAGAATGAGACTGCCTTGGCCTTTATTTCCTTGCATCTGTAAAGCACTTTGAATTGCCTTCTGTATGAATGGTGCTATACAAATAAACTTTCCTCGCCGTATTTGTTTTGCATCACCTTAAAAGTTTTAGTGTGCTTTTGTAAATTTTGGACTTTGTAATGTCCTGTTTTTCATTGAGATTTCTAGTATGCAGTAAAGACTAAAAAGAGTCAAATTATACTGAATCAAATGAACGTTTACATAAATGTCCTAAAAATACTTTAAGCTGTCACACTTGCTCTGTCTTTTCTCGTTTCTTTTGTTGATAATTAAAAAAAAAATTAAACTTAAGGTTAGGGTCAGGGTTAGGGTTAGGGTTAACCTCCTGTGAGAAATTTTAAGTTTGTGCATACTGTATCATATCTCTTATCCTGCTCATGAGCAAGTTTCATCTCCTGACTTAAATCTGATCCGGATTTCTTCAACAATTAAATAAATGGCTTTATGTGAATATTTACAGTAGAAAAGTTTTGAAAAGGTTTTTTTTCTTAAACATGCTGTCAGTCATCTGGTCTGATACGTATCCTCTTGCCTTTTTAGGAATAAAAAAGACCATAAACTGTAAGTCTTGTTGTTGATGGTCCCATTTGCTATTGTAAATCATCTTTTAAATTTCAGTCTTTTCCAGAAGCAGGAAAAACTCTTCACGGGGGCTTTAAGGATTTGGCGAACTCATCTGTTTTCATTAGATAGTGAATTGTTAATAGCAGAGGCCATCATCTTCATGTAAAAATATCAATGAATCAGAGCCAGAATTAGGTGGGTCTTTACATGATTTTATATTTTTATTGGAACAATAACACAAACGTTGTGATCAGCCTTAAAGCACAACTTTTATTAGGCAGTTACAACAACATCTCAGCTACCGCTCACTGGCGGAGTGTCTCACAAATAGTCTGTCTCGAACCAACTTCTGATGATAACAGATAAAAACATTGACAGTATTTTTGTTGACAGTGTGTAAAGTTCAATCATAAACTGTATGTTAGAAAATGCCCAAAATAAAGGCCTTTTAATCTGCCACACAGTTTCAGCCCCCACCCCTCGCTGTTGCCTTAAAGCAGTGTTGTTTATCACAACTGCTTGCTTGTGTAGTGTTCTTGGACACGCATGGGTAGCTCTTAAAATTCCCCGTCTGAAAAATGATTCATGCCCACCAGCTGAAAAGATGCTATTAATATTTATGTGAGGGTTGTGTTATGATGAGAAATATATTGCTGAGTTCATCTTCATCTGTCTCAGCAGCAAATCAGAGCCTCGCCAATGAGACGCATGATTAATGAATACAGTCGGATGCGAGTCCATCAGGATTTACACCCCTCATCAGAAACATGTGAATGTCCTCTAACACAAAATTAGCTTTCACTCGCCACTCTTTAACATGTTCAGAATCTCACCGACATGCTGTCCTGGGGTTTCTGTCGGCTTGCTCGGACAAAAAACGTTTAAATACACTGCAGCATATACAGTATGGCTTTTCTTTTTTTTCTGTCAAGAGAACAAAGTAATAATGTTCAAATGGAATATAATTCTTAATAGAAGATCACTGTGAGAGCAGCTCTATGCTATAAATCTCTATTATCATGGGTGGCAGAAGCCTTGGCACCAAAGAGAAGGAGAACTTAAAATCGTCAGGAGAAGCCAAATTAAGATGGGCCTGAAATTTAAGTGTCAATTGCGCAGTTATGGATAGAACTGGGGCTATTAAACAGGCTGCAAGTCTGTGTGGTGAATTAAAGTTCTATTTGAGCATTTCTTTTATATTAACATAAAGGTGGAATGAGGGGAATAGAATCTGGAGGCTTATTGATTTATACTAAAACAGTGAATTACATTTTCAGCAGGCTATCACTTTTGATGAAAATCCAGCCGTGAGAATCTCCCCACCGCACCAGAGTGAAATAGATAATAATGTATTACAACAGTTTGACTTCAACTGGTTCAATATCCAAAGCTGCTGCTGTGCACCATAATTGGCATGCTGAAAATAGAAATGAATAGCCTCTATACTGCCGCTTTGGATACTTCAAGATGCTTGAGTACATTGGGAAACTTGCAGTCTGATTTATGCTTCAACAAGGAGAGGATTTGGGAAACAAAATAATATTTTGGTTCATTGTAATGCAATTGATTGCCTTAATTTGTTTTTGTGCTGAATCTCATTATTTTCCTTGTTCATCTAGGCCTGAAAAAAATGCAAAAAGAGGTTTGAAGAAGACTTTCTGTCTCATAATTTACTTATCTTGTACCATTTCCAAAAAGCAAATCTACAGTAACTGTCACTTTGCTGCAAAACCTTTAAAAACACACCCCGTGAAAGTTAATTAGCTCCCCATATGACACTGAGCAGGGAGATAAAAGGCCAGCTCAGAGGAAAACCTCCAATTTATGGTGCACTCTGTGCAAGGACTCTGAAAGGCTATCTTATGAATAGTTTTGTCACAAAGACTTTGGAAACATCTGCAACTCTAAAAACCACTGTGTGCTGTGACATTAGGGCTGCGGCAGGAAAGAGTTTATTCAAACACACACCAGCGTCAGGGCCGCTCACTTTAGAGGACAGGTGCTCAATACAGAAAAAAAGGACGCATACATCACTAATTCAAATACGATGACGCAGATTTTTAAAGGCCTGAGACTCATACACCTATCACTTCAATAAGTGTTTAAATTCTTAACAGACAGGAACAAGTGAGTACTTCATGAAAAACTTTCATTACAACATTAGTTATTAACAAATGTATGCTGCAGGGATAATGCATGATATTAAAAGGTTGTAAGAGCAAAAGCCAAGAAAAAAAGGAAAGAAATGAGAAAAGTTCCAGAAAGTTTACTGTCTTCAGCTGAAGCTATGTTTACTTTTTAAAGGAGGTGAAATGAAGTTCTGTAGGAGGCTCTATATTCTTAATATGTGCCTGCATACATCTTAAACACACATCCTCAATTAACTGAGTTCTTAGTGGGTGGGTAGAAATTTCGGTGCGTATTAGTTTGTTTCATAGACTGTATATAGTATGGACAGCGTCTACCACCTCGCTGGGTGAAGCCACCTTGAAAACAGCACACTCTGGTGACGGGCTGCGGTATAGGTCATAAATCCCGCCTCCGCCAGCCATCCTTATGGAGCTGTGGACAAACTTTAGAAATTTATTTACACAGAATATACATTTTTCTCCCCCCTGCTTGCAATGTCAACATGTAGTTGTTGTAAGACTGGTTTGTGCTTAAGTCCTCTTTATTCTGTACAGCTCAATTTTATAAGTTTTTAGGGGTTCATGTTTTCTATGATTGACACTTGATACAGCCTATTGGTGTTCAGGGATTGCGTCGCACACCCGGGGGATACGCTGTTTGAGCAGAGCGTCATCCCAGCGACTCTCTGCGACTCTCCGGCTGAAAGTGCATACGATGCTTCTGTGAAATGTTGGTTTCAATTGGAAAAAAAATGCGGAAGTACAGAGAGCTTTTCAGCTTCAAATCCGTACACTGGCGGAAGGCGGGACCAAGTTGTCCATACAGTCTATGGTTTGTTTCTGTTGCCTGACAGACACGGTCTCTCAGCTACTCTACTTGAGTTCAGTCATTTCCACAGTCCCTGATATTTCACATTAGACTAATTTGCTTGTTAAATGGTAAACGGTGAATGTTAAATTGACTGTACTTGTGAAACGCTTTACTGAGCACTCGGACCACTCAGAGCATACGCTGATGGCAGAGGCTGCTATGTAAATAGCCCATCAGAGTAAACTACTCCCATTCACACCCTTTCACACACCACTAACTATGCCATCGGAGAAACCTAGTGCGCGGTGACTTGCCCAAGGACACTTCGGCACTTCCACAGTAGTGGAGATCTCACTCACGACATTTCAACTGAGAGACAACTGATTTTAGTGCCACAACCCTTTATTTGTCGCAAACCCTTGACTCAATGACCTGTCTATCTGATGTTCGAAAACCAGAGCAATGAGCTGAGAGATGCTAAAATGGTTGATGATACAGTGATAAGTCTTTATTGGCCATTCTGACAGCACTTACTAAAAAGTATAGATCATAACACAACCTGCGAATACCAGACAATGTTACTTTATTGCATAATTTTAAGTCTAGTACAACAAAGTCTATGTTTTTAAGAGGCAACCGTTTTTTTTTTTTCTTTTAGCTCTGGAAGGTGTTTAAAAAGCTGCACAGCGCCCTAAAATCCTTCAATGATTTCTAAGATCCAATGCTCTGAGTTTCTTTTCAAAATATAAAATTTTAGTACCAAGGCAGAAGTAGCAAACTCTAATCTAGGGTCAAGGTCCACTTTCCAGTTGTCTCGCCAGCACAACAACTTCAGACAGCACCTTGAAGTGCAAAAACGACTTGCTGGAATGAGAGGGGTTTGTTCATAAGACTGAAAACTACACGACCGAGATGTCGAGATATTATTTTTATTTTTTGAATCAGAGCTTTGCGTCTGATCACTTGGAGGTTATATGGCTAACAACCTCACATTGAGGCGAAACGCACACTGATGCCAAAGAAATATTGCAGCGCACCATACCTTGTTATTTATTTGAAAAAGTGCTTCCACTCCTCTCGATAGTGCTCCCTCTGGAGCAGCTGGTCTTTTTTTACACCACAAGATGCTTCCGACTGGTATACAGTATGGGATAAAGAATTCAGAGCTCCACAGCTAGAAAGCCAGGCGAGCTTGAGAAAGAGAGGCGATCTGTACAAAAAGTCTTCACAGACAATGCCTTGTTTATTTCCTCTGTTCAAGGCTTCTATCTGAAGTGGTTCTTAACAGCCCCCACCACTTCTATGGTTTCAAACACAGGCTCACAGTGGAAGGAGTGAATGAGAAGCGGCAGGCACAGTCAGACCTGCAGGTTGTTTGTGCGAATGGGTTCTGGTGTGGTACCCGAAGGCATTAAGCAAAGGTCACGTAGATGTTGTTACAGGTGAGTGGGTCGCACTTGGCAGGCTACAGTGTGTGTGTGCGTGCGTGTGTGTTTGTGTGGGGAGGAAAAGAGCGTGTGCATATACGTGGGAATGAGAGAGATGAGTTGATGACAATATGTCCTCTTAGTTGTCCTTGAGGGTTAGGAGATAGAGGCTCCAGTCAGGCAGAACGGGATGCCTGTCACTCACGGCGGGGTGGTGATGGCGGCAGAGGCGGGTGGCGGGAGGTGTAGGGGACGAGGTGGTGCGGGGGCTGCACAGTGCACTGGTCTCCTGGGAGCCATAGGCAGCCCTGTGATAGATTGAGGTGGGCAGCAGCTTAGACAGTCACAATGGCGAACATTGTGTCCTTTTGCTTTTAGTCCTTTTAAAGTCCTGACTGCTTTAGAATCACCTAAAGACCTGTGGCTTTAAATTCAGTCTGACGTAATCAAGTAGATCACTAAGTTGATTGTGTTTGGGGGTCTGAAAACACATTTTTTCCTCTTAACATGATTGGAATGCTGACCATACAATAATTCCTATCCATTTTTTTCATGAAAACAATGTTTGAAAACTGATGTAATTCATGTGGCTTACACTGTCTCTTCAGGATTAGTCATCTTTTTTTTTTTAATCCGTAGACAACCTAACATGTTACAAAGGGAAAAGATTTGGTGGTAATAATACCATTAATGATGGCTGGAGTCCATTTACCCGCTCCATTTAGCTGCTTCAGGCTCACTGTCAACTTTTATAGCTCACTGGGAAACCTGAATACCACAGAGCCATTGTCAGTGTTCTGTTAATACACCTGTGCTTTTCACCACTAATGAAAACTAGTGAGTCAGAATGTCTAGTGTGAAAAAACCACATTGGTATCATTCTACGTGTGTAGAAATTTAATAGACTTTCAACAGCATCCAAACCCTTTTTTCTTTTCTTTTAATGTGTCTGTTTGCCAGATTATCTTTGTGTCACTTTGGGTTAAGAGGTGTTCATGTTCTTGAGCAAATAGTGCAGTTTTATTTATTGGTCATTCACAGCTTTAATCAGTCTCATTTATGCTATATGGCATTCGCCATGGGTCTTGATTCCTTGAAAGCAGGGGTTTAGTCAGAGGCTACCCTGTTTTAGCCTGACAGTGAAATTAAGTCTTTGGCTTGTGGCTTCACTAAGAAAGGTAAAAAAAAAATGCAAGTGAACTCCTACAGTATCTGCCAAAAATACCTGATAAAATATTGGTGCATTTTTTTGAAGTGCTCAAAATCCTCTCATTGGACATATGTCTATTTGAGTACTTATGCTGCGTTCGAGTTACTTATGAAGTCAGAAGTCAGAGTTGGAAATTACGTGTCACCTGAATTATCAGTGTTTCAGTTACCAAGTTGGAAAAAAGCAAAATCGGAGACGGAAACAAGATGGCTACATCTCCGAAGTAATTTTAGTGCTTGTTATTTTCGTTTTTTAGAGTAATTTTAGCATTACCTTTCATAGATATTTCCGCCACTGATTTAGCTTTTTTCCGACTTGGTAACTAAAACGCTGGTAACTCGGGTGTGTCATTATTTCCAACTCTGACATCTGACTTCCGAGGTAACTCGAATGCAACGTTAGGGTTAGGGTTATATTAAATTGGCCATTTCACACTTGCCTTTCTGGTGTATTACTTTTTAAACTAATATACTAATATCTAGTTTATATGCACAGAAATTAACATTTATCCAATACCTCAGTGTTAGCATATCAAGTAGATGTGATTAGTTGAAATAGATAGGGTGAATAAATCGTATTAATTTGTGTGCATGTGTGTGGTAGTCTTGCATAAGTCAGCGCCCCCTTTCAAAAGAAAGGACCAAACACCCTGACCTTACCTTACATACATTTTTCCATGCTGAGTCTTATAACAGAGACTCGCAGACTAAAAACTATGTTTACACTAAGCTGACATTTCTGTGAGTGTCTTTTGGGCGACTGGGCGCAGTAATGGGGAAACTGCCCATAGTCGTGCTGTCTGGAGGATGAGTCACAGGGACAGGATTTGATGTCTCTAAATTGTCTCTGTTTTATAAAGTTGTGATGTCAGAGTACGGAGGCTTATAATGTTTGTTTTATTACTGTTCATACTGCTGTTTTCTGCACTGGTGTCTCAAATTTTTTAGAGTAAAACCAGGCTGTCTACACTAATTCGCTTAGCCTGCCTTAACCAGCCCCCTGATAAAGTACATGAGGAAACAAATGGGCTTTTTTTGTGCATATATCTTTATTTGAGATTAATGTATTGATTTTTTTTTATTTTGCCAAGTCTATCTCAAATACACATCAGGTGTTTAATAAATGAGCCAAATATCTCAGAATAAACGATAAGGCTAGTCTCTCGGGTAAAAAAAAAAAACGAAGTCATCTGCTTTAAAATGGAAGCAGCTGGGCCTGGAGAAGCAGTTGATCACAGCTTCGTTGCCACTAAAACAGAGGAAGCTCTCTTTCTCTCCCTGTTTCCTCTTGTCTGTTCTGTTGGCTCCTGTCTTCACACAGCCTTCACCAGACTTATTTTTTAAAACTTGAGTCTGGTCACATGAGCAGCCAAATAGATGTCTACTAACCAATACCAAGTAGTCTGTTCTCTGGTTGGTTTTGTTGTTTTTAAAGAGAAACAGCAGTTTCTTTTATTCCCGGAAGTAAAAAAATCGAACATCTGTCAGACACACTGTGAACTGCCACAGCAGAGGTGTAACCTTTACAAATTAAAACAGTTTCTATCAGAATAATTAATCCTCTCCTAGAATGATAACAATAAAATCCACACTGTGGATCCACACAGTTCAACAAAAACACGACAAAATCACAGGCACGTAACAGAGAACCCCTGAAACAAAACACATAAAGCCTGGAGAAGAGCTGAAGCAGGTTCTGATAGCGATATTACCTATAAGGGTTCTTCAGGGAAATAATTACAGCTGGTATAGGTTTTCTTCCTGGAAAAAGTAGTACAGATGGTCCTCGCACATGTGAACACATGCTCTCTACATTAGCTGTCAAACACTATGTGGTATGCATACTCTGTTTTCTCCAGCAAGGCGGTTTTGACACATTTTTAACTTAAAATCTGAGAAAAATGGAAAGAAAAGAGGAACCGAGAGAGAGGGAGTGCAGAGAGATCTGATTGTGTGGTGCCTTGAGACCATGGGGATTATGCTTGTGGACACTGATTACCAAGCCTGTCAACTCCCAAGGCCTGGAGAATTCGGATAAATGAAGTAGGAATGCTCCCAGGCTACCAGACTCATGCAGGCGGCTGTTTGGTGATGCCTGCTGAATACAGGCAGCTGCTTCTGAACAGGCGCCAGCTTGGAAAATTTAATTTAGAAAATACTGGTCACTCACTAATGCGTCATCAACTTAGTTGGTACAGGGTAAAATGAGCCCGTTGGCAGCGCATGACATCAATCTCACTAAAGATAGCCCGACAGCTCGAGAATAAAGCACTGTGCAACATGTTGCAAACAGTAGAAATACAGTATGAGCCCCTACTCCCCCTGTTAAAGGAGGAGTCCACCAGACTATATACATATACATACATCTACATTTAAAATGGCAAAATAAAACAGGAGCATATAAAAAGAGGCAAAGACTGTAAAACACAACACTTACAGTAAAAGATTTCCCAAATAAAAAGATGTGTAAACTGGAGCTAAAGCTAATTTAATCTTACAAATTAAATCGCACATTTTCAGTTCAACACTAAAAGAACTAAAAATGTTTATTTCCCTTTATGACTTTAACAGATCCCTATCTCACGATAAAAACAAATTTTAGGTTAACTGGCCAAAACTGAAGATAGTGATATTCAGTAGAAAGATACTGATTTAGCACTTGGTGAAAAAAAAAAAAATCAACTTCCGTCTGTCCTCTGCTCAACCAAAGTACTGATCTTTCATTACCTTTATAAAAACATGTCAAAGCTTTGTGCTCAGAGAAACTAAACCCCTGACATAACTCTTGGCTCCGAGGTCTAGCAGCTACTTCTAGAATCAGCTTTAGGGGGCTCGTCTCCTTTCGACCTCACAAAAAGACATTTAGTTTGACACATTGTAGTTAACATCCACCACTTGTCCTTAATATAAACTACAGTCTGCTGTTTGTTATGACACAAAGGTAGATGGATAATGATTCTACATGAGGGTCAGCATTCTTGCTAGTTTATAAGTATGCCACAGTGCTGCTCCTCCATTGTCAACATATTAGAGAAATGGTTGTGATTGGCTAGAGCCTCATGGGGTCAAATGTACTGTAAATCTCTTTGAGCAGCTGTGGGAAAGGCATCTATCTATCTATCTATCTATCTATCTATCTATCTATCTATCTATCTATCTATCTATCTATCTATCTATCTATCTATCTATCAAGTCATAGGGAGGGAGGAGAGAAGGCGTGGATTACGGACAGTGGTAATCGCAACAACTCACAAGAACCCGCTCATGTCCAATCGTGTGATAACAAGTTGTCTCTAGCCACAAAGACTAACAATATAAGCAGTAGACTGTGTCCTTCCAGAGGAGGAAATCTACTTCTAGACCTCTAAAATCAGCATCCCCTCATCCATGGTGTCATCGTGTTGAAATGTTGTCTAAAAACCTTTCACTTGTTCATCCCCGCCTGTTTGCTTGGTGTGAAAAATGATCCACCTGAAACACGGAGTGTTTTATTTTGAAAAGAGGTCGGATGTTTTATTTTCAGTCTGTGCCCGACTTCCTTTCCAGCACAGGTTAATCTGTGCGGAATTTATTCAGCATGCTCCGGCGTCCGGAAAAAATATATCAGCTGCAGTGGAAATTGACACATTAACTTGCATTGTTATGATCAGCGGATATAGCCTCATCGTAGCCATTCCAGATGCGGTGGAAATTGGGGCTAACCCTACCTAAGGTCAGTCAACTTTATCTCTATATATCCTGTACATTTCTATGTCAGTAAAGTATTTTCATTAATAGAAAGTCCAAATTACACCAGTTGCCAGTGACGCACCAGCTAAAAACAAACCCTCCAATCAGTGTTTTCCAAATTAACAAAAACCACACACAAGACCAAAAGAAGAGCTTATTTCATGTTTTTCTGCATCCAATTTTATTTTTACCCTCTGAAATATGCTTAACATTCAGATAAACAACCACAGCAAGCTTTCTTGGACCCACATTTAGAGGACCCTTCCAATAAAGCCAAAGCATGTACTGTAGTTTTGTCTGGAAGCTGTGTAGCCAGTCAGTGTGTAATGAAAGGATGCTAAATCAGACCCTGGCTCTAAATATAAACATTTGTAAGGCACTGAAACATTTCTGCATTGTAATTAGTCCCAGTCTTTTCTGTGGGTTTGTTATATGTGGAGGTAAATAGCTGCATGCAAGCCATTTATTCACTGTGGCTGAGTATCCTGTCTTTTCATCTCCAGGAAGCCCTATCAATAGCACCCAAACACACATAAGATGCTCAACTCACAAACTACTGTATCTTAGATATTCTCTTCTCACCAGACTGACATGAAAAATAATGACTTCTTATTTTGGCTTTGCTGAAATTAAATACGTTGCAAGTTTGAGCTTGAACCCTTGTATGTTTGTTTTATCTTAATATGTGTTTGGAAGCCACACAAAAATCACAATCTGAGTATGTAGCGTTAAATAAAAGGCTAAAACTAGGTTGGCATTAGGTTAGAATGCTTTTGGAACTTCACCCAAGCAATTACTTTAAGCATCAAGTTGATGTTGAAATGTTTTACAGATGCCAATGCCAAAGGCCAGTTAAAGAAAATGCTAAGGTCATTAGCCTGTCAAAGAAAATGCAAGAACGTGTCACAGTGCAAACACTTAATGGAGCCATCTTTCTGAAACACATTAACACTGTTAAAACAAACAGCCACTGGCAATGTACCTCTTGTGTACCTCCCTTCTGAGACAATTTTCCTGCTTGATAGTGTATTTCTAGCAAATAACTCAAACACATACACACGGCGAGGCTGCTTTCTGATTTGAGATTTAGCTGGATTTTTGCAGAAACATGTAAAACCAACTAAAATATCAGAGAAGGAGGTCAGATTTTGAAGTCAGTCTTACTGGAGCCAAGAGCTTATTTCAAGTCTCACCATATTGGACTGGTGTTAAATGATCAGACATACCCTCAGAAGAAGAAAAGGTTTCTCTGTTGCTTGAACAGACTACTGGGTAATGCAGGACATAATTCAAGTGCTGGTAAAGAGAAAGTGCATTTGGCAAAAAGTGAATTACGACATTTCATCATAAAAACACCCCTGAAGTGCATTAAACGTCATAAATAGATGATTCTTAACAGCTTCAAAGTATCTGAAGGTGAGTTTTCTTTTAATGTGCAGCAGACAGGAAAACCATTACTGTAAGTCTATCGACAAGCTCTTCAAAAAAAGGTTGTTTACATGCGCATGGTGGTGTGGAAAACGCTTGAGCTTCTGAAGATAATGGGTTTGAACCTTCTTCTAATCTGATCAGCATCAGAAAGGTGTCGGATGGCTATCAGTCTGGGGAAAACCAAATATGAGACGTATGAACTCTTCCATTTAAGTTTCTTAGCAGACTAAGATGAGGGACATAATACTTTGTGCAAACATTTCCAAGAAATACGTCTTACCGTCTAAATGTGCTAAAATAAAGGGTTAGAATAAACATATTAAGACATATACTGACATACGATATTACTAATAGTGCCTCAAATCTTCTTGCAAAGTGAACCATCTCATACTTGTCCCTTCATACTTAAAACTGTACTTTTAAACAGACCATCCTTACTCATTTTTGATCCTCTTCTGTAATCAGCATTCACTTGTTTAGCACCTGTGCCTGCTGAGCAAGCGAATGATCTCCCTCACTGTTTGTTGTGCAGTCACGTCTAATAGGTCTGATCTGCAGCTGGTCAGATAAATAGAAAGAGGGAGGAAGATATAGAGGGAGGTCTTTGGTTTCATTCCTCCATCTGATGCAATGATTGAGGTCAGCATAAAATGTTGAATATAAGGCTGCTCATACTGCTGTAATACTCTCAGTTTTTTGGATCGTGAAGCCTCATCCACATGTCACCTGTTATGATAGCTGAACATTTAAAACGTGGGTTGTGCTGTTTTAGCATCCTGCTGATTGTTTCTAAATGATCAGATAACTACAGGCATGAAAAATTTAGGAGATGGTGCAGGACACATCGTCTGCAGCAGGTTCAGCAGCCCCTTTTGGTGCTGCAGTGGACTGGCTTTGATGAAGCGTGCCAATATGTTGGTGTAATGCTGTAATTGCAGTTAAAATGACGAAGTCGCCAGAGGCTGCCCTAAAAGAAAAAAACTGACCTTATCCTGTGAGACAGCATGATGAGATTTCTTGTAATGCTGTAATATGTGATGAGATCTTATGGTAGTGTTGGACGGTATGAACAAAGTCTTATTTCACTGTATGAGTAATTTCATATCAGGGTAACGTTATATATCCCAGTATGTTATTTCCCCCTGTAAATTCATTAATGACTTAATGTCGCATTTGTTCATTTTCCTTTTATTTTTAAATTAGATTTTTATACAATTGCAAACAAAATGCCAGGAACTGCTGCAACTTTAGTTTTTGGTGCAGCGGGTGCGTCACGCATCTTTTGGCTCTCATAATAGAGCTTGGCGTGTTTCATCTTTAGATGGTGGAAGAGGTTGCTGGTGTTTCCCCCTTCTCTTTGCATAGTATTGGTTTTTTGATTATTGTCGGATTTTCTTATTCCGAAGAATCTTCAGACAACCGATGTTGCGACTCGCGCCCTTTTTCGGAACAAGTTCCTCCTCCTCTTCCTCATGTTGGGTGGGTCGGGCTGCCTCCGTTTGCTCAGTACTGCCACTAATGCCATGACCACCACCATTGAAGCTGTTTCTTCTTTGTTGAAACTATGCCAAGCAGTCTACTGGACACGCTAGTGATTATAGGGAGCGTACCCGAACCTGACCTATCAAAAAGAGCGAACAAACTCTACATGACACGCTGGTAAATATTCGGAAAGGACGCACTCCGGCTTTCCTGTTAGCAAGCGCAGACAACTACACACTGACTCCGACAGATGCAGCAGAAATCTACTCTATCTCTCCGGTATAAACGGTATAGCAAAATTTCTACTGGTAGACACTTTTATACCGTCGCAAGGTATATATCGTCATATACCGCCCAACTCTATTTCATGGTATGAGATCTCATCACATCTCTACATTCAAAGTAGCACATTTCTTAAAATGTAGGGAGCTGTTTCTTTAAACAGGAAGAATAAAACTACAAACCATTGCTTTGTACTCTCCACAATCAATGTAAAGTCAACTTGAGGTTAAAAAAATGTTTTCCGTAGGGCACGTAGGCTAAAAAGTGAGGAGAGGAAATAACACTTTTTTTTAAAAAACAAAAATAAAAGTATCTTCCAGGAGCACCTTTTTGTCAGGGATAATGGAGCGTGGAGATATCTGAGAGCTGGTGGAATATATGGAGCACATTTGTTCAGTGTGGAATTTGGCAGAGCTTACAGACTCTCATACTTCTTCTGCTTTATTTTCATTGCTGAAATCAATTCACAGCGGAGACTCTGGATCTTGAACATAGCCTACCTCTCTCCTCTGTCATCCTACTCATACCTGAGAGGAGTGTAATGACCCACTTTCTCTTCTCGTCCCGCAGCGACGCAGCCGCTTACCACGTTTGACCACCTTGCTGTGGTCGACTCCAGTCTGCAGCTGCTGTTAATTTACAGGAGCACTGTGCACCCCTTTACCAGCTCTCAAGCATATATGACTAATCACACCAGTCATTTTAAACAACTTGAGCTCTCTCTGGCTATAAATCACCTTGATACGTGCTACTGTGCCCATAATAGAGCTGCGTTCAGGAGGGAGGAGGGCCGGGGGAACTTTGGGAGCTATTCAGTACTTTTGGTCAACACACTATTGTGAAACAAACTCAGGGACTGGGACATATTGTTGTTGGATGTGTTGTTTGTCTCTATGATCTCAATAAAAATCAAAGTGAAAACAACAAAGGCTTGTATTTTCTTTGTACAACAGCTTGGGGAATTTGATGTTTCCCTGGACTTTCTGCTTTAAAGAACATATTTTCCTTTCCTTTTTATCTGTTTCTGCAGTTATAACTTTTACAAAAATAAAAAAAACAACATACTATCTTAGTTCTATAAATATGTCAAACTGTTTGTCTCTTCTTGTACACAAAGTTGTGTGTTCGAGCAAATGTGACGCCTACCCTACCAAGGCTTTAAATGAAATGTTGCTAACTTACATTTAACCAATGTTTGATCTGCTTTCAACACTATTTTTCTAAAGTCCTCGCCAAACCCCAGATAAACTAGAAAGAGGGAGTAGTTGCTTTTTTCTTCACCTCAATAACATGGAGAAAAAGGAGCTCCAATATGGCCAGAGGAAGACTTTTTTTTTTTATCTTCACCTGCCAACTGCAGAAGGAACAGAGAGACTTTACAAGTCCTTTTAAAGACAAAGTTAAACCACCTTTTTGGGACATGATAAATGATGTTACATTGCCCAAAATCCACAAGCCAACATGAGATAGATTTAGCTTCTAAGGCATCAACAACCAGCACAAAGTGGTGAAAATAGAAATGAAGTCAAACGACACAAAAGCACAGGCTGTGACTGTGTCCTGCTATTTCTCTCTCCTCCCTGGTACTGTATTGTTCCATCGCATCTCCCCTTTGTACATCTCCCTGCATGCCACAGCTATCCACTGCGCCGAGCAGAAGAACAATCTGCACCTTGTCATGAGCGCTGAATAGATCCTGTTGCTTATTGTTGAGGTGAACACATCATGTGAATATGACCAGTCTCCTATAATAAAAAGGCAGACGTGGTTTATGAAATATTCATCAAAGGTATCCTCTGGGGACCGCAGTGTATTCGGATGCATATCTTTAAATCTGAAACAGACCTCAACAGACAGAGAATGCTACTCTCAAAACTACAGAGGCAGACTGTTGGAGGTGGGTGACCTCTGCAGTGGATACGTCTCCTTGTCGCTCTGCTGGTTTTCAGCCATTCTACCTCCTAATAAATCAACAAGAGCACACTCCAGGCTCCAGCAGCTAAGTGGCATTTAAGAAACAGCTTGTGAGAGCTGTAAGGCTGCAATTTGGATCATTTAGACACAAGGCAATAATTTGGCCAGATGAACAGCATTAACAGCAAGCGGAAAGTTTTCAAGCCACAAAGGGGGAAAAAAAGGAACATTTTGTTAAAAGTCAATAAAGGCTGAACTTCTGGTGGTTCAGAAGGGCAAAAATGCTTTACTCTTGCACGAGTTCACTCTATATTGGGGACGTGACACATTTAAATTCACTGGCAGTTTACCAACAGATGACAATAGATAGTTGCCTCGTTATTTATCAGTAGTGCGTGTGGTGCATTTATCTGTGTGCCAACTTGTGCATGAAAAAATTGTGTATGGAAAGCAATAAAAGGCATTCAACATTCAGCTTGCTGTGTTAATGCCAAGATACTGTGCTGCAGCTTCAGCAGGTACCTGTGGACCGGTCGGGATGATCAAAGTTGGAATCTCTACAACGAGACTACGAACACCTCTCTTCTTTTATCGCATCATGGGTTATTTTCCCATAGCACCAACCTCCACCTCTACTTCATCTGAGCCTTATTACGTATAGCACGAGCCAGCTTTGCCTGTAACAAGGTAGACTGTAGAACAAATCCTAACAGAGTTGCTGGGAGACATACAGGCTCATAATTGCTCAAACACTGTTAACATCCAGCATCTGCCTACAAGACACAATAAAAGATGGAGTGATGGTCCTTTGCGGAGACATCAGGGATCACTCTGGGAATATGGGTACTGATGAGGAGCTCTTGGTTTGTTGCCATAGCCCCTGTGTGGGTTGCATGTCAGTGCTGGACGCCTCTTCTTTTTAATATCACTGAAGGAAGACTTTGAAGACCTGCTGGGGGAGCACACAGCACATTATGCCCCCCATTGGGCCGAGTCTCTGTTCTGCAGCATAAAACTGCATCAAGGTCTTAAAATACTCACTGTTTGGTTCAGCTATTCACCATATCATATTTACATTATCCACTAAATTCCCCTTTTCCACTGAGTCAGGTATTTTTTTCTTAATGCCATGCTCTGGGTAGCATTCAGTATGTCCCTGAAAGTTGCTTGTTAATGTAAGGTGTAGGTGTAATGTAAGGTGCTTTTGGTTGGTGCCCTAGACTGACATAATGAGAGGTGAAAACAAGTGTGACTTTAAATCCTGTGTTCTCATCAGCTGAATATGGTTGTAGATCCCCTGCATTAAAAATGCCAGAAGTGTTTGTTTTGGCTTTAGCTCGCTTAGAATAACCAGGCGAAGGCTGTTCAGCAGCTGCGCTTCAACAACAGCGCCTCCCTCCTTGTGACATTAATATTTACATTCATGTGGATGGATGTTAATATTAACCCGGGATATTTACGTGCAGTTGCGCGATAACAAGTTGTCTTTAGCCACATAGGCTAACCATATAAGCAGTGCCCTTGTGGAGGAGGAAATCTACTTCAAGACTTATAAAATGAGCATCCTCTGATCCATGCTGTCATTGGGATGAAATGCTGTCTATAAACCTTTCACTTGTTCGTCCCCGCCTGTTTGCATGGTGTGAAGTATGATCCGCCTGAAACACGGAGTGTATTATTTTGAAAAGAAGCCAGGTGTTTTGTTTTGTGTCTGCCCGACTTCCTTTCCAGCATGGGGTTAATCTGTGCTAAATTTACCCAGCATGTTCTGGCATCTGGAAAAAAATAGAACTCTTGCGATCAGCTGCGGAGTCCAGCGATCAGCAGCAGAACGGAAAGAAGGCGTAGGAAATTGACACATTAACTTGCATGGTTATGATCAGCAACTATCACTGGATACACCCAATTTTCATGGCTGTTCCGGATGCGGTGAAAATTGGGTGTAACGCCTTCAAATGTGTTCACAAATTGGATGTGTTGCTAGCAACGTACCCAACTGCTGCTGAGCAGTATCGGCAAACTTCTTTTGTCCTATCCACTTGGCTTTGTCTGTTTGTATATTTCACAGGGAAACCATGGAGTTCCCACACAGGAGACCTCATTGTCAGAGGGGGATCTTCTAGTTGCTTGCTATGTGTTGTGCTGAGTCAGCAAAGTTATTCAGCAGGTGAGGTGGAGGTGTGATGCAGATTTTGAGATTATGGCAAAAAACAGTTCAAATATGATGAGTAGGGGTGTCCTGATACAACTTTTTTACTTCTGATACGATACCGATATTGTAGCCTTCAGTATTGGCTGATACCGATATTAATCCGATATTGGCACAAACTTGTGCATGACAAGTTTTGCTCTCAGCTGCAATGTCTTTTTCGGACTTACGCAAAATACTGCCACATGGCCGACATCACTGCTACTCCTTGCTACTTTGTCTGTACCTTAGTACATGCTAATATCCGATATCAATATCGTATCGGGACAGCCCTAATGATGGGCACATAAAGATCTTCTTGAAATGCTTCTCTGTACACTGATTGTCTGTACCACAAGCTTCTGGTTTATGTCAGAGGAAAATGGCTGCCATGAGAAGGCAATCAATGGTCAGCCGCTGATGACAGACATGCAAATGAAGCACATTAAAAGAAAAAAACTGTTTTTTAATGTTTCTGCAGCTGGTTGAGACAGGAATTTTTAAAAGGGAACATTTAGTTTTTTGAAAGTGAGGCAAATAAGCAGGTGTTCTCTCGGTGCTATGTTAAAGGCTCCATTGTTAAATGTGTGCTTACACCTGATTATTATGTCTCACATCAACAACCTGTTTGTGTCCAGTTTAAGTGTCGGATATCAGCACATCGCACGCCACTATGTGATTTAGCTGTGTGCCATTGTATTTACAAACCTTAAGTATAATGTCAAATCCACATTATTTAACCTGTTATCCAGCAACAAGCTGCATCTGCAATATTTTTATGATCTAAAAGATACTTTTAGGGAAAATCAATGCTTGAATCCCTCATTTTCACAGCTTGTGCAGCCAATTTAACACACAGTCCAGAAGGGAAAAAGAGCAGAGTGGACTGAAAAGTCGCTTTTGTGTGAATGTGTCACCCTTGTGTACAAACTGCTGACATCTACGAGATCACAAAGAGACTTACGAAAATTAGTTTGACTCAATAATAAGTAATCAAATAAACTCCAGAGGTTTGTGTCAGGGTTGCATTAAGACTAAAATAATATATGAATACTGAAGCCGCATATAGAGCTAGAAACCGCAAAAAAGAGGATTTCTAGTCATCACTGGATCCATGACACAGATATAATCTTTAAAAATATTCATGAAATGTGTAAATTATTTGCTCCTCAAAGTAATTACAAACTATGTATGTGGTGTCTTGATATTTATTTTGATATTTTGTTATATTTACAAACAAAATCCACATAAGAGTTCACTGTAGGGAAAAAACATATCAAATACACTATTCTTTTTGGTAATATTGTACATTTTTGACTCACTTGATGCTGTTTTAGAGGTACGGGCTGTTCACACTGAAGACCATACAGTTTTACATCCAAACTTCAGACCTGACAGACAGTCTTAAAATGGTTCTCAGCAGGGATGAGTTTTGATATTAATATGTAGTGTATGACAGCGTTGTTGGTAATTAAACCCTGCAACATTTCACCCAGGCTATTATTTGTTCCTGGCAGACAGCTAATGAGCCCCACATTATCTCAGCAAGAGACACAAGCCCAGAGGACACACTGGTGATTTGAAGAAGTCTGGGACCCCTGGTGCAACCGGTTAGAAGAAAGCTGTGTTTCCAAAATGACGGGTCTGGGCTCACAACAGGGAGAGGGAGTGAAAAAATCAAAACAACAGTCATCCTCTGGCTACATTAAACACAGACTGGACCTTCCACTTCTCTCATGATGTAGCTGGTTGTTCAGAGCAGTGGGTCGGTCCTGTAGTCACTGTCAATATCAGGAAAAGGGTCTTGACAGGCTTTATCACCACCAGTCGACAAAGTGAAGTACATTTTCTGGGCAAATGAGACACAGCAACCAAGCGGCAGCTGTCATCCATCACGCTCATGGGGATGAGTGCTGGGTAACTACACATCCAGTAGGAAGGATTCAATAAAAGCACTTCAGAGCATGAAAATGTATACAATTCCAACATATTTTAAATATTAAGCTGTTTTTCTGACATGGGGACATTTAAAAATCACAACCGCAGACGAGTGAATCCAACAAAATGAACACATTAGAGAAGATTTCACGCTCTTGCTGAGTCAATCAACACAACTTTGACAACCTTTTGCATAAGGGAAATCTGGATAGGAAGAGCCACGTTGAGCTTTTTCATGCTGAGAATACGTTTTTAAAAGAACAATGCAAGTTAAACTTTGCTGAAATGCCACACACCAAAGACATGGGTCTACTTTGCTACACTTACAGCAATTTAAGAACAGGAAAGGCTTTTTCTACATTCTTCAATTTGGTTAATGAGCTCTGCTGGATTTGCCATTTTTCACAGTCAAAATCTATCCATGATGCCCTCAGCTTGACTTTACTCTGAATAAACCTGACCAGGATAAATCTTATGATCTTGTCAAGCACTGGACTGCTATTATTTCCTATTTTACCAAATCAGCCAGATTGGAGTTATTCAAATCTGTGTTTAATTTATAGAAAAGGACTACTCAGCTTGAGATTCTCTCTCTTTTTATGTTCAACCTTGAATTGTATAGTTTTTGCAATGCTGATCTGTAGCATCCTAAATGTTCCCTGAGTCATGCAGTTGATTTACTCAGTAACCCTTTCTTTTACGGTACAGTTATTACCAAGTAATTAACGGGTAATTACCTAGTAACAACATGAAACTATCTGGTAATTACATAATAACTACTAAGTCAATACTGTCTAGCTACCAGGAAGGTAACCTTCTATCATCATACAAATTTGAAGCCAAATTGCTCTGGTATTTCCAGGATTTTCTCCGCTTCCTGGAACCACCACTTGCGCAGTAGCATTGTACGCATTCGGCGGGTGATTCGCTGTGATAATGCTCGGCTCAAACAGCGTATCGCTATGTAATCTTCGCACGCCCATAGGCTGTATCAAGTGTCAATCATAGAAAATAAGCACCCCAAATAGCTTTTGAAAATGGATCTGCACAGAAAAAAGAAAAAAAGAAAAACTAGACAGTATTGACTTAGTAGTTATCATGTAATTACCAGATAATTTCATGTTGTTACCAGGTAATTACCTGTTAATTACCTGGTAATAAGTGTACCGTAAAAGAAAGGGTTACCACTTACTCTATGTGCATGAGCCTCTGTCTTGTTCATATCTAATGTTCCAGCTGTGTGCAAGGATGAGCTCGAATTTGCATGTGCACATCCGTGTGTCAATGCAAACTGTGTGCATCATGGATTTTGTTTATTATAGTGCCTTTTTTAGACAGAGACTTTTCATTTTGTGTCTTCATATGAGAAATCCTCTGTAGCCACAGATAAGCAGACAAGTCTCCTGTGTGAGACCTGGATCCTAATGAAGAAGTGAGAAAACTAACAGAAAACACCAGTTGCTCTGGAGAAGTTGTGATCTGAATCCTGCAGACCTTGTGTCCACAGTCGGGATATCGACTCTGGCAGCCAGACATTTTGATGCACCAACGTTTAAAAAACTGTGTGATTCAGTGTTCAAAGCTCACTAACTCGTCTGGATGAATGGAGAAAATGCCACTTCTGGTGCCAAAATGTAAGTACCTGGTTTGTTACTATAGGCTGTAAATGGGTCCATATGACATGCCCTTTTCTCAAAATGTCACGTAACAAACTGTCTGTGTGAGCTGAAATGATGCAGCATTAGGTCACAGTCAGTCCGCCCACCATAGCTATGCGACGGCTTCATTAACCAGCATGTCGACAAATGATTTCTTTTGTCTTTAACAGATGGATTCGTAATATCAGGGATGAATGTCCTCACACTAATGAGATTTATTACACCTCTAAAACTGAGCTGTCTGGCTCGCTTTTTGCTAATTTCCTGTTTAAACACTTGGAGTTTCACAGGATGAAAGATCTTCATTATTTTTGCTGATTTTTCATGTTTATTTGGCCGATCTGAAAGAAATGCCTGAAAAAGCCTGGCGGGTCTGGATGCGTGTCATTAGAATTAGAAATCAGTCCAACTTTTAAAGCACTAACAAGTTTTCGTTTTCTCACATTCAGAAAGGCGAATCAGCTGAGGTTACTTCATATGAAGTGTTACCGAGCACAAGGCAGAGACCTGCAGCGATGATTTAGATGCAGCTTCTCTCCTCACATATTGAGCAAGGTGACTAATGGGCCAAACTTGCAAAAAGTCGATGCAACCTTTTAATTGCTGGCAGATATATAGGAGAGCAAACTCACACAGCCACTTTTCAGGATAGAGATTTACTCATTTCTAAAATCCATCAGAGTATAGCACAATTCCTGCTCTGCAGCCTCGAATGACACGACAGATGAACAGAGTATTTCCGGTTTGCTGTTCACTTCTCCGCTTCAGCACTGTGGCTGTGAACGCTCGTCCAGGCTATCAGCGGTGTAGACTTCCTGGGAGAGCGAAAGTGGATGTGAAAGCTCAATCACATTCTAAATTGTACAACAGAGCAGAGGAGTCGACTTGGCAATCTCAGCCGTGAGACCGAGAGGAGAGAAGAACAGGCGAGCATTTGTGTCTGTTTACCCACCGCACTGTACATACAACATGCTGCACATGAGCTGCTCATGGTGGATTGGCAAAACCGAGCACTGCTAATTAAGATGCAGATTTTTCCTTCACCCTTGTTGTTTGAGCTTCAAAAAAAAAGAGGATTAGAGACACACTAAAATACAGTATGGTGCAGTACAGAATTCCCAGTGGGCTTCGCAGTGCTGTCACGCTCTCTGTGGCAGCGAGAAGGCGATGTGCCACAACCGCCATGAAACCTTCCTACCTCAGGCACTCCACTGGCGACAATTTTAAACAACTCTCCTTTTGTTTTCTCAGGTCTGCAGTCTCACTCCTCCTGAGTCGAAGGCATAATGCATCACCTTGGGAGGGCGAGCCTGTAGCAGCCTAATATAGCTGCCAGGGAGGAAACACGGGTGGACAGCGGCCTGCTAATAAATGAATGGACCTGACATGTAAAATCAGAAAAGATTACAGATGGAGAGGCAGGCCTTTCCGAAAGGTCTCGCCAAACCAGCTGTTTAGATAAGCCCTGTTACCTGTCCAGAATAATAAAAACAACCACACGAGATGGAGTAAACAAACAGTGTGAGGTGATGTTAACAATGTCTATTCTGAGAAAAGAAAAGTCACCTGCAACACTGGTGAGATAGCATCATATCACAATCAAATCTTGTGTCTTCCTCCCCTGTTGCATGTTGACATCTGGACACCGAGGGGACTGTTGGGTGTACACAGCCTACTAGCAATAAATAAACAAAGGGGGCCCCGGCCTTGAAAAGCCATACGCCTGTGACCGGTGGAAAGGCAGCAGCAGGCGCAGTGGTGTTCATTAAAGGCGCCGGGCCTGACAGTGAGGCATTTAAGAGGCCATCAGGAGCGACAACTCAGCAGCTACCTTGGGACCGCGGAGGGAAAGGCATCAAGGTGAGCAATGCAATTTCAGCTTGAATAATGGAGCACTTTCCTCAGGTCTGACATTCATGTATTTCTCAGGCAGTTTTTGCCATACAGCCCAAATAGCACCTGTGAGCTATTCAGAGTCTCGAGGAAAAACTGGTTTACAATGTGCACAGGTTCACAATGAGTCCCTGCCTGGCTGCTGGTGTGCAGATAATCTCACTCAAAGTGGCTCATGAATTAAAAATGGCACCAAATATATCAAATCTAATCATACGACAATTTAGATTTCCTAATGTCATGTGCTGGAAATTCCTCCAGCAGCTACAACTTTGAGATTTTCTCTTTTCTGAAACATTTTGAAAACTATTTTTGTCAGTCGTTCTCCGCCTCCTCCTCTGTTGGATTCACCAGCCAGATTTCATTTTCACGGAGTTGCTGATGTAAACTGGTAATAACAGAGGATTAATTTACAAGGAGGCAAAATCCCCCAGTGAGACTTGTGGCCCAGAACAATAATGAGCACATAGTAAACAGAAATTTGCCCTAAGCCAAAAGAGAACGCAGAGGCACCTAATCTACACACTGAAAACACAATGCACACACAATCGCCTGGGTTTGAGCACAACCACGCCCTCACACAAACGCAGAGAAAATAATGGTAAAGTATCTTCCCCAGGCCTCTGTAACAACATATGTTTTCAGGTAATTAAAAGAAGATCCCGTGTGGTTATCGTGTCATATTGAAATACAATGCACCGAGCAAATTACCATTCTGTGGTTATTTATACAAAGCTGGGTGCAAGAGGTCACGCTGCTTTGGTGAACTGAGAGAATAGACGAGAAGTGTTCATGGCTGCAGTCCAGCTGTGGTTTGGACCTCTAATTGGCATGTTAAAGTCAAAGCATTATGTTGTGTTTGATATATTTATGTTATGTGTTTGTGTTTTTGTTTTGTCTAAGCGATAGCTGCTGGTAATTGGTTTTGAAATGCAAATACACTGGTGTAACTATCGAATGAGCACAAAACTAATTCAAGCAGGAGTCAATTCGCAAGAAGCAGAGGAGCTTTTCAGGAGCTGAACACATTTTTCAATCAATGGTTTCAGTAATTTGATCAAACGCAACATTAAGGCTTCCTCTGTATATTATCGATATGTAGCCCCTGCTTCATAAGCTGTGAACAAGTTAAAAGAATAAAGAGTAAAACTCTGTTATTTTGCCTGTATGAATGTATGAGAAGGATAGCTGGCATTTCGAGGGTTAACTGCCCGGTACAGAGAGAAAGAGAGGTAAGCAGTGCGTCATGACGTCGCGGGCTAACTGCGTTGCAGGTGCGCACAGTCTAGGAGATAGGAGATTTTTTTGTAGAATGGTAGGGGAAAGTCCCGCCTCCTTCACCTCTGATGGCTAGAAAAGCTGGAAATGTCATCACACGCTCAAGCCAAATGCGGGCTGTCAGCTCTGTACATCGAACAGAACATTACGGAACATTATCGCACTTCTAAATCTCCTAACCCTAACCCTTACCCTAACCCAACAGACAATGACGTTTCACAGCCATAAGGAATAACCAGCACTTTTAGCCAATCAGAGGTGATGGAGGGCGGGACCTTCCCCTACCATTCTACAAAAAAAACTTCACGTCAGGTTGCGTGAGGAGCGCTCTGCCTGAGAAAATATCCAAAAGTGGTTAAAACAGAGAGAAAGAGTCAGAACTCACCGCGAGCTGACTCCACAGAGTCCTGGTGGATGGTACCTGCTCGGCAGTGAGTTTATTATTAATTGTGAGTTTATTTTTGAGGAAAAGAGTACGAATTTAGCTGCTAGCGGCTAATTGACACCTCGTGCATTAGCCATTGGGGTGGCAGCCAATATGAAATTGTATTGAATTTAGCTAACAATAGAGCTAATGAATGAGCTAATTGCTGATATGGTAGGGTAATCCAGACAAAATGCTAAACTGTGTGTGTGTGTGTGTGTGTGTGCGTGTGTGTGTGTGTGTGAAAAAAATATTTGTTTACATTATTATTTATTGTAACTAAGAGATTATGGCCTGTAGCAATTTAATTTGACCGAAACTAATGAATGTGGCTTGTTCCATAGGTCTGATTTTTTAAGGATGATTGAAAGAGAGGACATCAGCGACACCAATAGTTGACGCTAGAGAGAGGATACCAGAGAACCAGATGGCGAGCCGAAACCAGAGGAAGAAAGGACAACTGAATTTACCTCCCAAGCCTGCGTTGTGGTAGGACAGTTAGACACACAAAGATTAAATGACCCCAATGATCTAAAAATACACTACAGGCTAAACACAACAAAGGACACAAATTTTTATTTTCTTTTATTTAGCACACACTTTTGCTATTTTACATATCCTGTCAAGAAATATTGTTGTTCTATTTTTCTAGTGTTGATCGGAAATATATTCATTTTGTGTGGTGTGGTCAATGTTGATCTTTCATCTTGGGCTCCATGAGCGTTTCCCTAGAATCCTGATAACTGGTCCAAACTGAAACTGAAACCTAATATTAGTACTTTTTACCTCATCAGGCAAAGAGGGGTTACATGTGTTTCTTGGATCACCTGGTTTTGATCAAAATTCAGTCGAGGTCCAACTAAAAGCAAAAGATGTATTTTTAAAACCTCCAGGTAAAGTGCAATGTTGTAAAAGTGACATCTGATTAAAGCCCAGTGTGCTCCATCACCTCTTTCTTTTTAACAAGACTTTTACAGAGAGAAGGATGTGATTCTGTCAGTCTCTTCACACCTCTTACATCACAGGTGTTCACAGTCTCAACACAGCTGGATAACAGAAAGAGAGGATTTCAAACTCAGACGGAAACTACTCAGGGTACTTTGAACACAGGCTTGTTTTTTAACATGTTAATCTCTGATTACAAACTTTGATTTATCTCCCAGACATCCACTTCAGTCTGTTTAATGTTTACTGGCATTTTTGTGAATTCTTTTATTCACTTTTTTTTTTTTTTTTTTTGAAGCACAAATACTAGCTCCAATCACCTTGCTATAGATGAGTTTTGTCAGATCACAGTGACTGATTGACTGGCCCAGTTGTGACTGAGTCTGAAGTCACCCTCTCTTTAGCTCTGTTTTGGGGTCCACCAACCTATGTGGAGGATGTGTTTGGTATTTAGGGCATGGTAAGTTTACTCACAGCTCCAAATAGTCTTATTTTGGGGTGAGAGATTGGTCTCTCCCAATCCAAAGTAGTGCTTCAACTAACGATTATTTTTTTGTCGACTAATCTATCGACTAGTCGTTCGATTAATCACGATTAATCACTATCTTCTTTATTTATAAACACCTATTTCCGGGGTGTCTGCGTTTCCGGTGCTCATGCATCGCCGTGATGCTGCCATGGTAGGCAAAGCATAGCTTGCACTCAACGTGTTTTTTTGGTTTGTTCTCCGTAAAATGTCCCCAAACTTTTGAAGTTTTGGGTCGCAGTTTTGGAGCGTCTTCTTCTGTTTGTTCTGCCATAATGTGTGCACTCTTCTTCTGTGTTTGCTCGCGGGATTTAAACAGTGAGCGCTACTGCCCCCAGCACATCCTGTAGTGCACTGCAGTGAAGATGAGCATGAGGCGCCGGCATGTGATTCTTAACAACAATAACACGATGCGTTGATGCTTAATTTTTGTGTCGATGAATTTGTCGTGTCGACGTAATCGATTATGTCGACTAATCGTTGCAGCCCTAATCCAAAGGTTGGGTATGTGTCCCTGGGCAAGACACTCAAATCTGAATTGCCCCCATAGCAGTGTGTGAATGGGACGAGTTAAAACTGATGGTTGCCTTGCCCTGCAGCCTCTGCCTTCAGTGTTTGAATATGGTGTGAATGGGTTACTGTGACATGTAGTGTAAAGCACTTTGAGTGGTAAGAAGACTAGAAAAAGTGCATTTATTCAAAGTTTAGTTCTATTGAGATGGCTCCTCTGAAGGAGACCTGGCTAAGATTGGCAACAACACACATTTTCAAGGAAAAACTATCAGATCTACACAGAAGATTAAGAATAACACAATGACTGCTGTTGAGAGCAGTGACACAGAACAGACAACAGCTCTTTCATATTGCTGGTTCAAGGTGCTATATTTCCGTCTCGCCTTCAATTTGAGTTGAAGCGTGATGGTGGGACCAAGTCATCCCACGGCTGTGACAGCATCACAGGCAATAACAGAGGCATTGCATAGGCGAGACAGAACCTCTGAGAGCCAACAGGGCAGGCAGGGTGGAATAGTGCTGTGTATGTGTGTGTGTGTGTGTGTGTGTGTGTGTGTGTGTGTGTGTGTGTGTGTGTGTGTGTGCATGTCTGAAAGTGAGCGTATGTGGAGCTCTTGCTGTGTGTTCAACTTTTGTGCTGCTGCAACGTCGTAACACAATAGGGATTCACACACGGTAACACCATTAGTATGCTGTTGCAAAATTAGTGTGAAAGTTTAAAAGTGTGATGATGATGTGTTGATGCCGACTCAGTATGAGTATGAGTAGGGCTAACAATACGGTCATTGGATACAAACTATAACAGTACGTTTGAATAGAAATCTGAGCTTGTTTTTTTAATTGACTGAGCTTTACAGTCATTTGATGCTCTGCTGGTTTAGAGATAGTGATGTGTTGGTTAAAAATTATTGAACCATTTAGGGGAGTTTGGATTTTTGGGGTACTGGTTAAGATATATTATAGTGCTATAATGAAGACATACATGCCTAAGTGAGCCCTTTGGTTAACTTAGAGTTGTACATATTTCCAGGCAGTCGGGGAATATTCAAAAACTGTGCGTCTTTGTTGTACCAAAACAGAAGCGCTCCATATTTTTGAATACTAGGACAGAAACAAACACTTCTTTGGCTGAATTTAAATATGAGCTGTCATCAAATAAAAAAATAAAAAAAACAACCCCCACACAACTGCTTCCCAAAATAAATTATGTACACTCCCTTGGCTTCAGCTGCAGAGTTCTGCTGCCCAGAGTCTATACATGGCAGTCAGTACTCAGGATTAACTGGTGAGTCAAGAAGAGTCCTGCTGCATTGAAATGCATTCAACTCCAATTCCATAAGAGCTGAAGAGCTGCGATAAAAACAGGATTGGATGTTTGCATATCATTTAAAATAAAATGAAAAAATAAACATATAAAACATATATAGTGCAAAGACAGTAAATCAAAGTTGAAACCGAAACATTTGATTGTTCCACGAGAAACATAATCATTTTAAATTTAATGCCAACAGCATGTTTTAAAACAGCTGGGACAGGGGCACATCTTGATGACCTAAGAGGTCTTTTAGAAGTATTGATGGGAAGAGATTCACCATTCTGTGAGAGAATGCATGAGAAATAGTTCAGTGATTACAGAGTAAAGGTCCTTAGCGTAAAATTGCAAATAATTCGGAGATTTCATCATCTATGATACATAAAATTGTCAAAGATTCAGAGAATCTGGAGACATCTCTGCACAGAAGGGACAAGTCCCAAAACCAAGACTGGATGGCTGTGGTCTTCAGATTGTACTGAATTAAAAACAGTCATTGGTTTATATTGGAAATCACAATTGCATTTAAAAATCATTATCTGTGAACACAGTCTGACGATGCATCCACAAACGTAGATTTAATTTGTGTTAAACAGTGATGAAACCATTGATAAACATAAAACAGAAATGCAATTTTTCTGGCCAGAGCTCATTTATAATAGACAGAGAGGAAGTGGAAAACTGTCTTGTGGTCTGAAAAATCAAAATTGACATTGCTTTTGGAAATCATGGATGTTGAGTTCACCGCTCTGTGCGTTTTAGAGGCCAGTATTCCTGATGCTATTGATGCATAAGTGCCAATGACATAAGTAGCTGACATATTTTCTAATGGTAACCAACATGTACAGATTTCTGTGCAGCATATACTGCCATCCAGCCAAGGCTTTTTAAAGGGAAGACCTTACACAACTGCACAACGCAGCAAAAAAAGATATAAAAATACATTTTCCTGTGCACTTGAACAGCATGACTCTTTGGTTGAAGAAAACTGCTGAGCAGCTCAAACCCCATACCAGGCAAGAAGGGAACATCGTTTTATTAAACACAGAGACTGGTCTCCTCGGTCCCTAAATGTTCACAGAGAGGGTAAAAGAAGAGGTGATGCAGCACAATGTGAACATGACCCTAACACAATGGCTTTAAATTGCGTTGCTGGCATTACATTTAGAGTAAGCATTTTATTTTTCATAAAACAATCCCATTTTTAGCTATAGAACTTAACGTTGTCTTGCACCATTTTCAATCAAATGTAGAGTTTTAATGATTAGGAACCATCTAATCCTGTTCTCATGAACAATAATGTCCTGACTCCTATAGAGTTGGTTTTGTTAAAACCAACACAGTTAAAGTATTTGCGGCTCCATCCATCCATTTAATTCTCTTCTTTCCTTTACCTTGAAAGCAGTCACTGGATAGTTCTTTAGGACACATACCTGAGTTTTACTGTCCTACTGTTTCTGAAGCAGCTTTCTTGCCATCTGACAGACAGGTGATTCTCCTTTGAAGCAGCTCCATCTCACTGACTGATGTGGAGGCCAGAGAATAAGCCTCCCCCTCAAGACCCCATTAAAGCGAAAACCCAGGGTCCGCAGGTTTGATATTCATCGCCCGGGCAACCTCTGCCATCAACACATTTTGTGCCACGTGAGAATGATCACAGCTTATTAAAGTGGAAATAATGACTGCTCTACCTCCGGCATGAAATATTTAACAAGGACAAAGGAGATGGCTCAAAGGTGATTCATATCGATGTTGAAAGGACGGAACATGGACAATACATTCTGTGCAGGAAGTGAAGATGAACCCTGGTTAACCTGAGCTCAGAAAAAGACTATCTGAAATTGAAATTTGTTCCCTAATGGAGGCAAAAATTGAAGAATTTGCTCAGTTTGATTGAATTAATGTCGATTACAAAGCTGTTGAAATAACCGCAGATGACTTCCTACAGAGTACATTCGTCTCTCTTCATACCATAGCATTCAAACATTAAGTATATGCACTTATTTTAACCTTTATTTTAGGGCGATCATTTTTTTTATTTGTCTGTCTAGGAACTTCCAGTTTCTAGCTGTGAAATTATTGATGTATTTTAGCTCCTAGTCTGGGTAAATTAGCTTTTTTAGCCCCCCCTGAGAGAATCGGGCAATAGAGGCAGAGTGAAAATGTTCTCCATCAACAGTGATTGAATTGGATTTTACAAGATGAATTGCCGGGACAAGAGTTTATCCCAATTACACTGCCAAGAGGTTTCAGTCCACCTGCTGCAGCCACTCTGGTCAACAGCAATTATGGTCAGTGTTGAGTCATCAGGATCCGTCATTGTGAGAAGATGTTTACAATGTAAGCACTGAGTAGATTGATGCAACAGGCAAGCATTTGCAGCGTAAAAAGTGGTTTGAGTTTCGGCCCAAGAATTCATGAAATTACAGATCCGACAGCCAAGACATAGTAGAGCAAAACACAGCTGTCTTTTTCCACAACCCACACATCTTTTCATCTAGCACAATACAACACAGACTGCAGGCTCTGCCTCTGGCTCTTTGTGTGGCTGTCCATTTCCCTCACTGTTTTTTTTTTCTTTGATGTAACCTGTATGATTTGCTGATGTGGAGACTCAGAGTGTCTTTTATCTGACACTCATCAAGACCACACTTACCACAGACAGTGGCTAGAAAGAAGATAACAAAGGCAAAAAAATGAGGCGATATTTAGCCTTACCTTCCCCAGACTGGGGCTCCACAGATACCTCAGGCTGATAATACAGAGGCCCAGGATGATGAAGACCAGGGCCAGAATCAGAGCCACTCGCTGGTAGGTGTGGAACTTGGCCTTCTTCTCTTTTATGGCCTCAACCTGAAAGACAGTCAAAGGTTCAGAGATAGGTGCAGTATTACGACTATACGGCTGAAAATGAAGTCTAAAAAGATGTGAGCCTTTTCTCTTACTGACCAAGGAGTTAAAGCGGAAGATACTCCTCATAGATCTGCACTTTTAGCATGAAAACAAGATTGAGCTGATTGTATATCATACCCCCTTTGATCAACAATATGCGGTTATTAAAGCTCCTGTGAGGTTTTTTTTTTATATGTTTATAAAAAAGACAAAAATTCATATTGCTTAATAATAATAATAATAACTTTATTTGTATAGCACTTTTAAAAACAGAAGTTTACAAAGTGCTTTGACATATAGTTAAAAAGCACATAGAAAAAGACAGATAAAAACAAAAAGCTTGAAGGCTATTTTCATGTCATAGGGAACCCAGTCAATACAAGAACCATACATGATAAACAAAGCAAATAAGACCGTCAGCAACAAGATTGAAAAGTCAAATTTTTACATTTTCCACATGAAATATTCAAAATTAATGAAGAAACTGCTTTATCCAAAGGGGGCGCCAAAATCAACACTATCCAAAAGCTCCTTTTTTTATTTTTAAATCTCATTTTATTTTCTAGTTAAAGCTCCTGTGAGGAATTTTTAATAGATAATGAAACGAACTGAAATGAACTGTCTTGCATCTCTATGATGTTACACTGCAAATGAGACCATTGATAATGATTTCTCTTTGACATTTTTAATGTCTGTAACTGCTAAGAGGGGTAGCTACACTCAAGAAACAGTCTTTGTTACTTTTCCCACAGCACACATTTAACAATAGAAATAAAATAGGAGGAGGTTTGGTGTCAATAAGCATCGCATTCACAAAGATGAAACAAAATCGGCAAGAATATTAGGGTTACCAATTTGTCCACAGGAGGGCGCTGTCACCAACAGAGAGAGAGAGAGTTTCTTACTGGAGCTTTAATAAGCCTTTGATTCTAAGATTGTTTCATCATTTTGGCAAAGAAAGCGCTCAAAATATTACATTACCCATTAGTCTTTGCTGTTATTGTTGAGGAGAAATGAAACAAGTCAGAGGCATATCAAAGAACTTCAGCACAAAAAATGAACCAATAGCTGCAAATCGATTAAATTTTGATTTGACATTTGCGGTACTGCATGTCAAGCTCAGTTATTGTGATTCTTGCATCTCTAAAGGTAACACCAGTATGGGGGCTGACTTTTCTGGCAAAGTTTAAACTGTATTTATCAGTCAAAGAAACATTTCGAACAAAGCTAGTCTGTCTCTCAGTAGTGGTGCTTCATGACTGTTTAATTAACACTGGATATATTCTCTGACTTCCCCACTGGTTTCTGAGAAGCCCCCAGATGGGAATCACTATCCCTGCAAACACTGTCTCCAACTAGCCACAAAATACTTCAGAAATAAGCAACAAACAGCCACAATGCGTCCACCTGGTATCATTTAGCTACAGACCATGAGCATTTTTTTGTGCCAGACTGCAACCGTTTTATTTCTGCTGTGAGAATGAGTATCGTAATATGAGCTCTGATGGACTTTTCTTGGCTTTTGGAGCCCGCTTGAAGTGGACACTCAGGGAACTTTGGTTTCTGGTGCTTTCACATTGGCTTCGATTTTCTAACACCTGGGGTTGCTTGGATCAGAACATCTTACAGACTGCATAAAAAAAAATTCAACATAGATGAGATGATATAATGATAGGCAAGTGGATGGAGTGGGAGCATCTAAAGACCGTGGCTTTGCACCCCTTTAAAAATATTCAATCTTTGCTTTCATGTGTTATTGTTTCATTCATACTTTTTGGCTGTTTAACTTTAACTGCACCGTGTTTAATCCAGAGAGATGTCATTTGATCTCGTAACTATAGACTACCCACTGATAACAAAACTAAAACCATTCCCATGCCAAGCACAAGGATGAGCTGACTGCTACAGAAAGGTTACATTTATTAAACTTTTCCTCACTCAGCCTGCCGTAGTCAATTCCCTGAGCTTTGGGCCACAAATTAATAAAGACAGGCTTTTGTTCCAGCACAGCTCCAGCGGGGGAGAAAATGAAAGCTTCTCATTCACACTGGACCACTTGTGAAGGTCTCAGAGGACAACAGAAAAGCAGATATGTAAAAAAAAACTGAACTAACTTCAATTAGGAAAATTGGTGTTGCTTATCTCTGTGTCTTTTTAAAATGATGATAAAGCAGCTTTGGTTTTCTATTGTGACTGAGGTTGTTACAGTAGTTAAGCTGCGGCGGATTGGAGAGCGTTTTAACATGCTGACTACTTTAAATAATATGCAGGAATTAAAATAAAAGTTTTGTCCTTTTTTTTGCTCAACTTTTACCCTTACTCTGTTTGAATATTAATCTTAAGTATTCCTGACTCTTGTGTTTCACACAGATTTTTGTTTGTAGGTGACATTATGAGAATATGGTTTAGCAATTATGGCATACGGTTACACAGAGTCCTCCTTGAATATGGATTGGATATCTGGTCGGTAAATACATTAGCAGCGTGTCTTTGGGGGAGAACAGAGGACACATTATTCAAGATAGACCTTAGCAAACTTAAACCAAATGCTCGCCAGTGATAAATCTTGAACTCTTGGTGCTTCCTTGCCATATATTTGACAGCTGCCACAGAAACGTGCAGCACATCAAAGTTCTGCACATTCCTGAGGCATGATAAAAAACAAGAGCCAGGAATTCCTTTTTATTGTGACTATCTGAGAGTGAAAGGAAAAAAAGACAAATAATAAAAGGATGGCTGAAATCCTGTGCTCTCCTGTGGCAGGTTGCATAAGCAGTGGAAACTTCACTAGAGGACAAACCTCTCTCAGCCTGTGCTTTGAATATCGAAATACTCAGAGGGAAGGAGGTGGGACTGAGAGACAGACAGACAGACAGAAATAAAGGCAGGGATGGAGACAGGGTGAGCAGTCTGAGTGCACAGCAGCCGCCAACTAGTGTTTAAAGGTTTAGGAGTTCAGAATCAGCCAGGCGATTCCTCTTGAGCTTTGTGAGGAAGAGTGCCTGCAGCTCCCTGCTGTTACAATGCAAAGACAGAGCCCTTTCTTGAGAAAACAACAGGAGAGGAAAAAACACAAGGAGCCTGCAAAAATCAACAAGCAGAAGCATGGTTTTATCACACAAGGGCATGCTCATATAAAGCATTGGATTTCAGTAAAAAAAAAAACTGAAATAAGGGGCCACACGGGATTTCTTAATAGTAGCCATTTTTCATCCATCACTTACTGTGTACTTTATAAGTCTCTGCTAGAAGAGTTGCCCTTGCTATGATGGACAAAAAAACAGCTTTACTTTCACATATACATAAAAAAAGATAATTACTCAGTGCTGTGAAGCTACTTACCCCATTCCTCTATTGTGCTCTATTGTAAGTTCTGCTACAGTTGAACTATGAGAGGTGGAAAAGGAGGTACTTCAAAGCCAAAAATCCTCCTTTTCACTCTTCCCCTCAATATAAAAAGACAATTCTTAGTGTGTATTTGAATGCTGAGCACATGTGAGAAATTGAGGATATTCTAGACATAAAGCAAACACTGTGGCTCAACTGAGACTGAATATAAGAGGGAGAGAAAGAAAGAAAGGCAGGGTGAAAAGCCTGAAGGAATTAGTTAGAAAAAATTACCATTCCAAGAAAACTCTGATCACCAAGTGAGAGATCAAGCAGCCCTCTTTTTTTATATCAGACTTCCAACACATTTTAGTCAAAGCTTACACTCTCATATCACAGGATCCCTGCTGCTGCACCTGCACTTCACTCACATAGGTGTAGAAGTTGAAGCCACTTTTACCTGAAAATTAAATGACTCTGGACTTTTTCTATTTCCTTTAATCACAGAGCTCATAATTGTAGGTTTTAGTTTTTTTGGTGACTTGTTGATGTGTAATAAATAAATAAAAAGTAAATCAAGGATAAAAATTGGACTCACATCTTTCCACAGAATCTGTTGACTGCTAGATTGACTTCCAGCCTCCATGATGCAAGCCTGCAGGAGGAATCTTTCCGATGGTCTTACCAGGGAAAACACTTACGCTCTGCAAGGAGGCAAGGAGCCCCAGTTTCATTCCTCTGCTGTAATTTGGGAGTGTGCTAAAGGGGAGGGAAGTTTCAGATGGAGTGGAATTACTGAAACATTTGTGATACTCATTAAATGCAAGGCAGATGTCCCTCCTGCCTGCCCGCCTGCTCCCGTTTCAAAGGTGGAAAAACCACAAATGGATCCAGACTGAAAACAAACACTATTGAATACATTACTTCTGTAGCTAGATGAAAAAAATACCAGAGTGATTCACTACCTTTGAAGGATTCCTGTTTGGAGGACAAAGTTTGCAGGTGAAAAAATGTAATTGTACCTAGATAGTGCGGATTCTGGTCTCTTCAGCAATATTTTGTGAAGCACCTAAAAGGACCTGCTTTCTTTTTTTGTTCCCTGCTCTGCATGTCCCTACACTTCACTAAAAAAAGGAGAAAAACTGAGATGACTGAATAGTAGCATGACTAAAGAATCTACCTTAAAAAAAAGTATTTCCACTGGTGCACTCAGAAGCATGAGAAAAATGAAGCACAGACTGTAATCTGAGGGCACAAGTTTGAAGACCACCCTCTGATATTTTTAAAAGATAAAAAGAAATATTCTACAAAGAAAAAAAATATGGAAAAGTTCAATTTATCTCATTAAACATTCGAAAAATTTCACAAGTCGAATCATTCTCTGGGAAAAACATGCAGATTCAGATTGAATATTCAGAAGAAAAAAAGGTTCAGCCCCTGAATGCAAAGATGTGTCTCACTTAAGTGAAACTTTCCACATCAGACTCCTGTGAGCTGCATATCTGACCACGATTGCTTGCAAAGCTCGCAGGAACTGAGCTCGTATATCCACACGTTGGACTGAGATTTGACAAAAACAGAAACTTTCACCCCTCAGCAGATAAATCTGAATAAACAGCCTTACAGAGCCAAACTGTGCACAACCATCATTCTGCAGAAGGAAAGTCAAACATACAAGAGATTTAGCAATAAAGCAAAACTATTCTGAAGAGCAGAGCCATTCTGAGATGGACTACAACTCCACTTTTGACCTAAAGATGCATCTCAGACTCACCCTGTGTAAGTTAGCAGTCAAGTTTCATGAACAAACTAATCCTAAAGGGGTGGAGAAACCAAGCTTCAGTATCCCAGCCAGAAAACAAAGGCATAAAAACGCAGTATTCCTTTACATGAAGCTGTCTCTAAATGCAGTAAACGATCTTATAACATTTCTCTGCGGTTTTATGAATAAAGAATTTGTAAAAATAAAATTGAGAGTAAATGAGAGCAGATACACTAGGATTGCCAAAAAGATTTTGGAGAAATAGCAAATTCAGAACCAAAGCTGAAAAAGACATTTCTAGGAAAGACAGCATTTTTTAAGAAACCAGAATATCTATTAGTTAAGACTTAAAAATCTTAAATATGCACATTTAATATGACTTAAAACAACAAATGCAGTTAATACAACAGATGTGTGTCATATGTTCTGTTGATTTAGTTTTTTCACTGCTTTTGTTATTTGAGGTTATTTTCTGTGCGTTTTTGCTTGTGTTTCTGTTCCCTTTTGTTCCTGTTCCCCTTTGGTCCAGTCTTGTGAGTTTTCAGTTTGTGTTTGACCCAGGGGTGGAAGTAGGATAAGGTTCTTGCAGATACTGTACCCGTAGGCTTTGTACAAGAGTAGCACACCCAAGGCTAACAAGGACTCTGATGCCACAGTATCACCATCTGCTGCATCTCTCTTTCTCTTGAACATAAAATAATTTTGCCTCTGCATTTTCTTTTATGTCTGCATTAAGGTTGAAGCAGCTGTCTATTTAAAAGTTCCCTCATTCGCATAAGGTGGAAGGCGGTTCCCAGCGCCTAGGCAACCAGCGTCCAATCAAAATTGCGCACTGAACGTGCCTCCAATTTCTGGAATTTGTTTGTTTGCGGAAGCGAATACGACTCAATCGCAAGCAGCGTGGTCCTATTGGATTACTACAGTTACAATTAAGAGTGCAGACTGACGTGCAGCAACACGGTAAGCAAATGTAGCCTATAGAGTTTGCGTACTGCTGCGTACCGGCTGTAAACTGCTGTTTATGTCTTCCCGGTACGACGTACCGCTGCATACCAGCGGGTTTGACCCTGTTTCCCTCCTGTTCTCTGTGTTTTATTCTTTGTATCAGCTTTCATTGTTTCCTGTTTTATTTTGTAGTACTTGGTTCCTTGTGTTTCTAGTCTGGTTTTACTTCCCTAGTTTGCCCTCCTTTGTTAATCACCCATAAGCTTCACCTGTGTCTCATCTGCCTCACCTGTTGCTTGTTTCCCAGTGTGTATATAGTCCCTGTCGTCCCCTCTGTCCTGGTTGGTTCATTGTGTGTATGCCTGTCAGTGTGTGTGTATGCCTGTGTCCCCAGTTGCTCCATGTGATTTTGCACCGGTTTTTTCTCTTTTTGTTGCTTTTTTATTTCATTCTTTTTAAATGAATCCTTTCTTTGTTCTGCAGTTTGGGTCCATTCCCTCTTGCTTAACTCCGGACCGTGACAATGTGTGCTAGGACTATAGAGAGAACTAATTAGAATGACATGTGGCATCATTTGCTAACAACTTCATGATGTTTTGAGAGTCTCTCCAAACATCGACACTGAATGTCTCTAAATATCTGTTAACAGTCTTTTATGTGTTCAGTTGGAGCTTCAAGAAAAAAAAAAAAAAGAGTTTTTAGTTGATTTTTTACGGAGAGCTTTTTCTGTTGGGATGTAATCTATATGATAGCAAACTTTACTTTGAGTATTCAGTGACACCGATTATTTAACAGGCTTTGATTTCCTTGAATCTTGAGTAAATGTCTGTCTCCATACATCAGGATTTCTAAGATGCTGTTTCCTTTCAATTCAATTCAAACCATTTAGGAATGCGTTTACCCCACAGAGATGCATGTGGATAAGTATTGAAGCCATGGTTACTTAGGTTATTTACCCCGAGGTGCACAATATCATGTCGCGATGTCTGACTGTGTTTCTCAGTAATGCAGCATCTCAGTTCCAGCTACACTCTACATTCAGCTTTCTTCAGTGTGCTGAAAATAACTGCGCGTTTCATGCACACACCAAGCAACTGGTGAAGTGCTCGGAGCTCTTTTTTTTAGAAAAATGAGGCTAAGGTGAAATGTTTAAATTTGTTTGTTTGCTTATTTGCTATATATATGTTTTCTAAGAATGGATTATAGTAGCAGATCACTCAAAGATTTGCACATTATTTGCTCGCACATCTACTCTATGTAAATGTCCAATACACAAAACATACTGGTCCAGTTTGCTCTGGTTTTGCGTTTAGTTGTTGCATAATGAACCGTAATCATCTCCACTCTCAAATCTGCACAGAGCTGATGAGCAGAACAGGGAGGGGAGATGTAGCTCCCCCTCTGAAGTAAGCTTGCTGGTAGTTACAGCTCCACACATGTGGAAGACTGCGTCACAGACAGATCTCATTCCTGACTATAGTAAGGTGACCGTACGTCCTCTTTCACCCGGACATGTCCTTTTTTTTAGGGGGCTGTCCGGCCTTGTCCAGGGGGAGTTTTTAACATCCTTCAAATTTCCGGGATCTTGTGTGGAAGTTTTGAGTTTGTGTTACATGGATTTACTGAGTTAGAAGCGGTAAAAAACACTCGACCCGAAAAACTCAGTGTGACTCCTTCGTGACTCCGCCCCCCCTGTAGTCGTGTCCTCTTTTTTTGGGATTCAGAATATGGTCACCCAAGACTAGAGGAAGAAATTTTAGGTCAAAGTAATACAAACAGACTTAATGTTCAGAGACACAATTTTAAGGTCATCCACAGGTAATGACTCTGAATTTTCAGTGTGACATCTATTGAAAATACCACGCCGCAACTTCTACAAATTTTCAGCAGGCAGTAAAAGTTGCTGCACAAAGCTGTTTGTGCCTGCGTTTGAAAATATGCAACAAGGTTTTTTCACAGTAAGAGGGCTAATTCGGCCCCACATGAGTGCACGATGAAATAATCCTAAATATCACAAGCATGCAGAGACACTATTTGTTTATTGTGAGTGTGCTTTGTGAAGTCTTTTTATCGTATTTGCACAAAATAAGCAAGCTCAAAGTCATGCAGTTGTCTATGAATCAGGCCCAAGGTGTGAAAGACTTTTCCCACGACACTTCAGTCTCCAAAAATCTGATAGTGACAGTAAAAATGCAGAACTTTAGTCTTTTAAGCAGCAGCCCACACACTGTTGGGTTACATCACACATCTACAACTAAAAAACATCACAAGTTGATTTACTCAGAAGTTAAAACTCATACTTCATTTTGTTATTTAGTCATGTTAGTCAAAATTTAACAGTGATAAAGCTGTCTAAACTGTAATATAGATTACATTTGCAAAGGTAATCAGAAGGAGAGGTTCAACAAGATCTGCTGTACTTGATAGCCATTAGATATCAGTACTTCCAGAACTTTCTGCAGTTCTCAAGAAGCCTAATACGGCCATCCAACTGCACCTACTTCCTCCTCTCATCAGTTCAATGGGCCATTAATAGTTTTTGCAAATGTCGCAGTGACTCAGTGTGATCACACCTGCCTTCACATTTCTTTTTCTTTTGGCCATAATTGTATTGGAAAAGTAAGTTCGCTCTGGTATTTCATAACTTGGTTCATTTTGGATCATGTTTTTTGGGCCTGAGGTCAGACTTTCCTGGAGTAGATGTACAAACTTTGTTTCTGAGACACTCATTCTGCAAATCGAAATTTCTGTCCAGCTTTCCTACAGTGTCACACTCTCTATTTCCTGGACAGGTTTGCTAAACTATGTGTTTCCCTTCATGGGTAGTTGTGTGGACCTTTTTTGTAAGCTATAACCGGATTTCAGTCTATTAAAGCATGATTCCTGGGACAACAACACATAGATTAGCTTCAATATTCTGGTATTTGAGCTTTATGTATAGTTCTCTGATGTTTACCCCACCTCTCTCTACAAAGAGCAAACATCCCTGACTTCATTTTAGGAACAAAAAAGAAACCTCATAAAATTTTAACCGACCAACTGTGTCCTTCA